GCCAAGAAGGAGGCCCACTCGGGGTACCTCTCCTAGCCGGACCCTGGGTTCCTTCCCCCAATCGTACCTCCGCCAGGAGAACCCTGCCCCCCCCACCCCACCCCAAGCCTCCTGCCAGGGGCCCCCGAGCCCGAGGCCCGAGGCAAGTGTTAATCCCCAGCCAAAGAGGGGGGCTGCTTTGCGGGAATTTGTCTCCAGGAAAGGATCTAAGCCTTCTTCAATCGGAGCATATGTTCATAGAGCAATAAACCGGAAAGATTTACAGTCCTCTCCCGGCCCCCAACAGCCTCACACCCTTTCAGGAATTACTTACGATGATTTATCACACCAACCCAAGCAATTGTCAGGCTGATAAAATAGCCCGGGCCGGTGCCCGCCAAGTCCAGGCCTTGAGAGGCTGCTGGCTGCAGGCTGCCAGCCGGGCTGGGAGGCTTTTTGTGGGTTCTTCTCTGGGCCTACAAGGGGATGTCTGGGTGAGTCGAATTGGGTGGAGGAGGGGGGAGGAGAGAGGAGAAGGATTCTCATTGAGAAAAATGCAGGCAGCTTAGAGAAAGCGTCCAGAATCTGTACTGGAGTCACTTGCTAAGCACATAAACATTTGTCATCTTTGAATAATTGAATTAATGTGTTATTGTTTGAATGTATAATTCATAACGGGGAACTTTGTTTCCGACTGACGGGGAAATATACACACTCCAAAAAAGAAATGAAAACACACACACACAACCCCAAAACAACCACCAAACATTGCCAGTCCCAGCTCACGGAAATCCTCAAAGTCAGTGGAGGCATCTCACAGACAAGAGGAAAGGAGGCGACTAAAGAGGCTGTCCTCTGGGCACTCAGGTCGGATCTTGGAGCCAGAGAGAGAGAGAATGCCTGCTCCAGCTCCCAGCCTTTCTCTCTGCGAGCAAACTAGGAATGAGCTGGAAGTGAGGTTTGCTTTCAGGATGGCAAATCTTCCTGGAGAGCGAGCGGGTGAAAACGGCTGAAATGGAGCGTGGGAGACTGTTGGGGGGTTTGATTCTTTTTTTCCAGCTCAACCGGCTTCTCCCCCTTCCCTCCCCACTAGCCTTTCCCGAAGATTTCCCCTCACCCTGGACTCCCCCATTCCAAAGGCAAGACTTCTTTCTGCTTTCATTGGAGATCTTCAAAAATAAATACAAAAATAAAGGGCGAAGAAGAAGAAGAAACTCCTCGCTGGGGTGACGGAAGCAGCAAAGCTTGGGTAGGGAGGGAGGAGAGCGGGAGAAGCAACTCGGAAATCATTATCTGTTGGTTAAAACCTGCCTGGGGTAAAATTTCAACTCGATTTTATAGCCTTCTATTATGACGCAAAGAAAAATTTACGACCCTCGTTTGGGAAAAAAAAAAAAAGGGCCGGGGCCTTTTCTCGCTGGTTTAAGAATAGGCGGCAGATGCCGTGACAGCGACCATTGTTCCCGGTAGACACAGGCAACCTCGGTCCGCGTGCGCCAGGCGTGTCCCCAGCCGGGTCGGCTTTTTACAACTCCTGTTGTCTCGGAGCTGCCAGTGCGCACCCGAGCCCCTCACCCCTCACACCGAGCCCCTCGCACACCCTCACATCCTCACCCGTACCCTCCCTCTCCCCCCCTCCACTCGGCCGCTCTCAGTAATTTTTCATAAGTGCAAAGCTTTGCTGAACCAAAGGTCACCATCCAAGCCACTAACAACTTCTCGCCGGCGCGCGGTTCCAAATCAGGAAGCAAAGGGAACTATTTGTCAGCGGCCCTGACAGCTAAGTTCATTAAGGATTTAAATCAGATGAAATAAAAGTCGCCAAAATATTTACCTGCCGGCCGCGTTCCCGGGCCCCGCCGCCGGGGTGGAGGGCCGGGGGCGCCGCGCGGCCCCCCTCGGCGGGTGATATTCTTGGGATCCCTGCACTTTCCAAGTCGGAGAGAGCCCTTTGCGTGGCAGATTAATGACGACTCCGTGTTTCTTAAGGGACGTGCTGAATTAATTATTTCGCCAATCACGTGGTCGGGACTTGTAGAAATCTATTCTTATCATCTTCCTCGCACTTTGAAAATTCTCCGGGTTATGAAAGGCCCTCCCCCGACTGCTGGCGAACCCTGGCTGCCCAGCGCGGTGCGGGGGGCAGGGAGGGCTCCCCAACATGGCGGGCGCGCTGGCGGGAAGCGCCGTCTGCCGAGGGTCCCGATTTACTGTACTGTACTCAGTAGGCTAGGCTATGGACCGGCGTCCCCCTCATCCCTGACGGTGATCCAATACTCACAACGGTATTGATGTATTGGTGGGCACAGGAGGAGCCATTAAAGAGAAGACGGGCAGAGGACAATCCTAAAATGTGTCTGAATATTGAAACTTCTGTCTGTGCACTTATAAATACACATGTCCACGCGTCTGGGGTAAGCCCTTCCATATATTAAGGACACATGTCTGATTTTATGCAGTCTGCTCATTTCCTGTCTCGAGCAAGCCCCCATTTATTTTTGGGACTGCTGCCTTGGCCCCCTCTGCAAGGCTTGTGGCCAAGTAGAGGGAAAGCCCTCGTGATAAAAATAGTGCCCGGTACTTTTTATAGTGAGAAGTGTTTATTGTTGTCTGGGGGGCAGGAGAAGTGCTGAAAAGTAGGTGCTGGAGGCTCCAGTGGAGCTGAGCAGTGCCAGAAAAGTAGGAGCCCAAGATTGGAGACTATCAGGGTCAGGTCAGAGCAGCCACCAGTTAGCTTTAAGCTCGGCCTAGAACCAGCACTCACTCCCAGCATCTGGGGAGCTGGAAGATTTCTCAGAGCACAAATCAAAAGCCCTCCTCTGAGGGCTCCTAGACTTAAGGGGGCTGGGGCTGGCAGGACAGAAAGCCAAGGTGGAGCCCCCTATTAGCCCAGCCAGTTATTTCTGTTTCTTTCAACAAATACTGCCCACCACCCTACAGCCTGAATCCAACCTCAGGCTTTCCAATGATCACAAGATATGATGGGCAAATTGGGAGTGAATATGGAGGAGTGCATAACAATTGCTGAGCTTTATATGGTTTTAACCACACCTTAGGCACCAAATTAATTGGAGCCTAATTTATTGCAAAAAAAATAGTTTGTTTATATTGAATAGTAGTTTTTAGAAGTCTTAACAAAGAATGCTTTTTTCAAGGCACCAAACAGGAGGGAGATTTTTTTTGCTACACCTTTTATTATTTCAAATATAGATAAACGAATTACATCAAAACTACAGGCAACAATTAGCATAAATAATACTTTAATCAGTGGCAGTGAAACATTGGTCAGTTCTATTTTTTTTTTTTTAAAAAGCATCTCATGTGAACAGGCTCCGAGGCTGACTGACAATGTCATCTCACAACAAAAGGCTGCAATGGACAGAGCGAGATGGTAGTCACAGGAGTAGTGTACTCAGCAAACACTTCACTCCCCGTGTCATGACACCAACACAGGTTTCAAAGAAAAAAATCCACCACCCAAACAAACATTTCTGGCTCATATTTGGGGGAATAAACTGAAAATAAATTATAGCAAATGGGCACTGGAGCCTTAGCACACCAAACTTTCTCCAGAGCAGTTCACAGATGGAAACTCATTCCCTCCCCTGTCCTGGGTGGTTGGGGGTCCTGTTTCTTTCCTAGTCCACGCCTGTGGGCCCAAATGGATACTGGGGTCCAAGTGGGTCTTCAGGATAGGGAGCTGCCCTCTAGGCCAACCAGGCTTCATTAACATTTCAAAAGACAATCCCTCAAAGCTGAGAAAGAGAGCTGAGACTTATAAACAAAGAAGTTGTTTCTCTGATTAAGTTACTTTCCAAAATAGTGGGCCTATGTTTGAGAAGTAGCTGGGGTTTTCCTCAGGAAAACATGTCTTTTGGCTTTCTTTTGGGGCAGGGGTGAAGGCAGCATGGCACTTGATCTGGTAAGTAACCAGAATTTCTTGGGAGAGGGGAAAAAATCTATATAATTATCCCCATAATTATCTATATAGTTGGATATTGTGAAAATATATACTTTTTCCCCATCCAAGGAGAAGAAGCCTCAATGTATGCACATATTTGGGTTTTAGGAAAGCATCTTAGCAACTTTCCAATTTGCCTAAGGACAGCGGCTCTTTTCAAATGCTACATCCAAAGACTGTTCTCCATGTTAGAAGGGGGGAAAAAAGAAGAGAAGGGTAGTTAGAGTCCAAAAGGTTAAGGGTTTAGAGGTCAGTCCTCCCGGCTGAAATACAGCTAATCGAATAGAAAATTTGTCCTCTGGATGAACCTGATTCTGTAATTTAGCCAAACTTCAGTAAAATACCTTTTCAGCTTCTCAACGTGAGGGCGTCAGAAAAAAGACGTCTTGACTATGTATGAACTCTGTGCTTTTTGTCATAGAAACAATGATGGGAATAATGCAGGAATATCCATCTTTAATATCCCGACGTGGCGATATTCAAGTATTGCCATGTGCAAGTCTGAGAGCCAGGCTCACCCCAAGGAGGAACAAAGAGCTGTCCCCAGGGTCTAATACAAAAGACCAAGGCTTGGATGATACTTTAGAGAAGTGGAATTTTAGCATAGGGACCTCAGTGAATACCTGCCCTTAGCTCTCAGGAGACACACAACCAAAGAACGTGCCTTCAAGAGATAGTCTTTTTCCCTCCCCTCCATTTAAGTGTATTTTAAAGATTGCTACTAAAACCTGCTAAAATGTTCTAAAGTACTGAGCAAGTAACTTCATTATGGATCTTAGAATTAAGATTTAAGTTTATCCCATCTCCCTCCCCCTCCTTTGTTACTTTTTGGTGGATGGAGTCAAGGGTCTCTTTTTTGGAGTAGAAGGCTTTTGGGGGTTAAAACTTTCAAAGACTCGTTTCATTTGAGTACATCAACTCTAGTTGATGTACTCTATGCCCCTTGTCCTTAAGACTCAACATTTTAGAAAAACTGAGCTTTAAGCTCTTCACAGACATGCCATACATAAGAAAAGTGACTAAAAAAAAAATCTGTCTTGTTGTTGATTTATTGTTTATAAAGCCATGATTTTTCAAGGCAAAGAAGAGGGCCTGAAAACTTTTACACGTTTGCAATTTCTGCTTCTGCTTAATGGTTTGAAAAAAAATCACTTATTCAGTTTGCTTTAAAAAAATAAAACTTTAGGGAAAACTCTAAGAGCAACTTTTGTGTACTTCTAGGCATAATTCCTTTTTACAAACACAAGACTTGTTCACCTACCCACTTTTCCTCAACTGCACAGCCCCACACCCATATAAGCCACACATGAATTCTTATCAAATACTGCAATGAGGAATATTTGGGACATTTGGAATTCGGTTGGAACAGAAAATTCAGTCATTATCGAACAAGTCAGAGCACAGAGGTTTTGTTTTCATTCCTCAGAAAGAAAATGTTGGGCCATTTGTTTCCTTTTTCCTCCCTCTTCCTTCAACCACCCAGAACTGCTTGTAAGCACAGTGCAATCACAGTGTAAGCATGTGTGGGAATACATTTTCAAGAACTCTACTTCTCTCTAGAAGGATTAAAGGCCCTTATACTTATTTCTAGGGAGTAGGAAGTAGGTGGAGATCACAATGCCAGTTATAGCCAAAAGTAAGTCTAGGTATCTCTGACCAGCTCCTTGAAGCTCAACCCCTTTACCCTCTTAAGAATTTTGGCAGGAAGGTGTCAGTTATTTTCTGTACCCCAACCCCCAACAAATAAATAATAAAGCAAATATAATCTAAACATAAAACAACCCATTTGTACTTCCTTCTTAGATTTATTCCTTTGAGCATGGGCCACTGGGAGCATGGCATTCTTTTTAGCACACTGGCAATAATACAAGCCACCTCAGAAAGTTCAGAAATTTTGGTAGTCTCTCCTGGACTCACTGGAAGCACCTAGCGCAGGGGGGGGGGGGGGGGCAACCTTCTGCCTCAACTCCCCCACATGAAGTAAACCACAAAGCTCCCTGGAGGGGTGGAGTGGGGGAGAACGTCCAAATTCACACTGGGATAAAGCATCCAACCTTCATTTGCAAATTCAAAATCCAACAGCAGACATTTTCATGAGTTTAATGACTCGCCAGGGTTTTATGTTCTCAGTAGCTCCTGCCATAGGATCATATACTTACAGAATCCCGCCCACCCTCCCACCCCCATCCCCACTCTAGGGAGGGGGCTGCCCTCGGGCAGGATGCTAACCTAGTCCGAGGGCGGCCTGCAGGTCCCAGGTCCACCCCACAGTACCTTAGAACCCAGCGAGGTGACAGCAGGCCCGGCCTGCCCCCACAGCTTCGGCTCAGCCTGGAGCACAGAGAGGGATGGGCCCAGGATCCCCACTTCTATAAGGCCGTCAGGTCCGTGTGGTGGTCCTTGGCCATTGGCTGCAAATGCTGGCCCGGGGCAGCTGAGGAGGAGCAGGAAGATGAAGAAGAAGAAGAAGATGATGATGACCTGCCCTTGGTGTTGGGCAGCTTGTGGTCTTTTTTCCACTTCATCCTCCGATTCTGGAACCAGATCTTGATCTGGCGCTCGGATAGACACAGGGTGTGAGCAATTTCAATCCGACGACGCCTTGTCAGATACCTGTTAAAATGAAATTCCTTTTCCAGTTCTAGGACTTGCTGCCGGGTGTAGGCCGTCCGGGAACGCTTGGGCTCCCCGCCGGTGTAGTTGGGGTTCACTAGGAAACAAAACAGACAGTACAACCAGGTCAGCGCCCAGCCACTACTTAGGCCCCTGGCCTCCGCCGCTCACTTCCTGGCGGGCCCCGAGGCCCACACGGCCCTCCCCGCGCTCTCCAGCTCGCCGGCCTCCCCCCCCTCTGCCCCGCTCCCCTGCGCACACCCTCCCCAGCACCCACTCCCCCAGGCTCCCCGCGTTCCTTTGGCCCTGGCCCACCCGGAGCTGCTGATTCCTGAGCATTTGGGGAACACGCTTCTGCTCCTCTGCCTGCGTTCCCTCCGCTTTGAAAATGGAGTCCTCCCCCCACCCCACCCCCATCCCCACCCCCTTTTGCGCCCACAGCCAAGCAGTCAGCCACATGGTCCCGGCCTGCTCCCTCAGCTATAAAAATTTATGGAGAGAGTAATTGCGGCACCCAAGGAGGCTCCCCACTCCCCACCCACTCGCAGCCCCCCCGGGGGGGCTCAGATCCACTGAGGGTGTGGGGGGGATAGAGGGAGGTGGCTGGACCCATGCCTTACCCGAATTCACGTGCACCTTCTTCATCCAGGGGTACACCACGGCGGGCTGCTTGAGTGCCGTCCCGGGGGGCGGCTGCTTTGGGCCGCCCGGCTGGCTGCAGGCCCGGGCGCCAGGCAGGGGCGCGGGCGGGGGCGCCGGGCACGGCTCTCCTGGGGCACCGTAGTGACTGCCGGGGCCGCTGGGCTCTTGCCCGTGACCCCGTGCAGGCAGTGCTGAGCCCGGCCCAGGGCCGCCGCCTCCAAAGGGTTGCTCACCAAAGTCGGGCCGCGGGTAGAGCCCCGGGGGCTGGAAGTCAGCGCCCTGTGCGCCGCTGCTGTAGTAGTCGGTGCCCTGCTCGCCTAGGTAGCCGCCCTGCAAATATTCCTCACACGGAGGAAACTTGGGGTCCACATACTTGGAGTTCACCATATACGAACTCATGGCCATTAATTTCAGAAGGTAGAAAATACTAATTTTTCTCGTGTTGTCTTTTTTTCTCCTTCCATAGGGCCCTCCTACTTGCTGTCAACTGAATAAAGTTGGACGGCCATGTGACCAGGCCAGCCAATGGGGAGGGAGCGAGTTTATCACCGGGTTGGTGAGCATCTCATAATTTTCACAAATTTAACTAAATAACATACGTGTAATCAAGTGACTCGCCTTGCCACATTTGAGGGTCCCCGCCAGATGTTAAAGTAGTTCCAACCCAGCATCCCTACCCCCAGCAGGTACTGTTTTGTTTTTTCTTCCTCTGTCCCTGACTTTGCTAACCTTCCATGCCCTCTCCACTCACCATAGCCTGCAGCAACCCCTCAAAATGGGCACAGTTCAGGGGGAAATGAGTCGTTCAAGCGGGGTGCAAAGCAAGGAAGGGTAAGTGGGCAAGGTGCCTCTGCCTTGGACCGAGTATCTTTGGCGGGCAGCTCACCGGCCCAGGCGGGCGGGAGACGCGACTCTGCCATACAAAGACTGTGTCCTGGCTTTGTCTTCGTCAGGGTCACCCAAAAGATACCAGAATCTGGCGGGCCTGAATTAAGTTAGGCAATGAGTAACCACAATGCTTTCCTATTAGTGCCCAGGGTAGGGTGCTCCTAGCCTAAGTGGGGCCTTGCTGCATGGCAGGGGGACATCGATGTCCAGGCTCTTGAAGAGTGTTGAGCCAGAAAGGTGGTGAAGAGACCCCTCTGAAATGCACCACAAAGGTACTCATGAACTTCTCAGCTTGCTTGCTTTCCCACACAAGGGCTTTTAAAAGCCAACAAGCCCCAGTCTGGGTACCTTTACCACTTATTTCTTAGAGAGCGGAGCTGAACCTAGCTGGTCTTTTACCTTACTCCCAGGATCCCCAAACCTAGCCCTTTGGCCCTGCTTTTATGAAACCAGCTAAGGCTTCTTTTTGTCGCACCCAGGGAAACCTCTATTTAAAGGTGAGGAGCTTCTCCAGGGAAAGGCTGCACGGTGTCACCAGGCACAGTCGATCCTCCTGAAGTCCAAGGCAATAAAACAGAAAGAAGTTGCTGACCTGCACCGGCTCCCTCTTACTCTCTCCAGTTCTGGTTATTTCGGAGAAACATGAAGTTTTTGCATCGACCATATATTCCCCTAGAATCGAATCTGTGACATGTGGATACCACACAAATTCGGTTCTACAGGGTATATATAGACAACGTTACAACTTCTGGGTTCTATCCAGGACAGATACCCAGACTGCTGCCAGCTCTGGTCTCTTGCTCCGAGCCTCTGACAGATCTAAGAAGCCTGGCTTTCAGAGACAGTTCAGGTAGCTTGGTGACAATTCTAAGTAGCGAGTTCCCTCATTCATTTGCCAGGGCCAGGGCTGAGCCATTAGGACATTCTTCTTTAAAAAGAAAAGAAAAGAAAAGAAAAGAATCCACCCCAGAGATGGTGGTTCTAGTACCTTCTCTCAGGATTCAACTACCTTCCCTACCTCATTCAGTAGGTTTTTATTTTTATTGTTGTTTGATTGTTTTCTAGGATTTTTTTTCCCACCAGAAAGGAGCAGATGCCCTCAGCAGCAGCAGAAAAACAAAAAGAGCCAAAAGAAGAGTATCTCTAGCTCCTTCTTTTTCCCTCTGCCCAGTGGTGTCACAGCTAGTTCTCCCAGAAGTCACGCATTTACCTTCCTGGACCCTCAGCCCGGCTGGCCTCTCCGTCCCTCCGCTGCTGCAAACCCGGAGGCAGGCTCTGCTCCCAGGCACAGAGCCGCCCTGGGCTGAGACCAGCGTGCTAATGGTGAAGGGCAGGGTGAGGGGTCATTTGAAATCATTTACAAACATATCACAAAGTTTCATTATTTTTGCCTTGCCGACAGCAGCACACAAGAGTACAAAAGTTCACGAATTTCACCCGCCCCAGCGCCTCCGCACTGTCCAGGGTTTGCCCCTCAATTCAGGGCATCAAGAACACAGATGCACTTAGGGGCTGGACTGAATTCAGTGGCAGAAAGATGCCCTGGATTGCATAGGGCTTTTAGGTGCCTGGTGGTAGGCTGAAGATATCCATTTTTTTAATTGTTTTACTCACCTCCCCCATAATTAAAAATGACTCTCAAACCTTGGGCCTGGATTGAATCTTGGTGGGGTTAGGACAAGGTGACTCCTCCTACACAAAATGGCAAAAAATCAGTTGTTTACTTCTACTGTATACTTTGCATGATACCTCACCGGGGTTAGCTATTTCTCAGAGGTTTCTAGAATGCCAGTTCTAATAATAAATGGCTCTAAGGCTGCTGAATCTGTTTGTCCCAGGAGAGTCTCCACAATTTTCCCTAATGCCAAGTATTTTTACCTACCCACCTTCCTCACGACACAGGGCCTACCTGGGGTTTATCCAGACAAACTGGGGGAGCCTGCTGGTCTGAGCAGAATTGGGGGGGGGGGGGAGTGTAAACATTTTCATATTTGTTAGACGCTGTGACCTGCATTTCACCTTATTGCTCGCCTTGTTCAGACAGGTCAAAGCCAATGAGTTATTGATGAACAAAAGCGTTAAATATTCACCTCCCGCTCAACTGCCCATACTAATGCTTTTGATCTCCCTAGCTTTTTGTGCTGTGTTCAGCTACGAGGCGCCAAATGTGGGTTTGCAAGAGAGCAGCGCTGCAGAGATGAGCACTCAGAGCCAGGGCAACAGAAGAAGGGGGGGCAAAGCAGGGAGATCTGGGGACACCAGATCTGGGCTGAAACCCAGAGCCAGCCTGTTATAGAGAGGAACTACATTCTGTGTGGATCTCAGCATCTCTGGGTGAGCACAGCACCCAGAGGGTCATCTAGGCTACCCTGCCAAACTGGATAAAGAAATCTGGCCCTGAGCCTAGCCCCAGCTTTTCTATGAAGAGATGGTGTTATACAAGGGGGAGGGGTGCCTGGTTTATTGAGCCCTTGCGTGTGCCATCTTTCATCAAAATAAAATTGACTCACCACCATGTTTTTTTTAATCTCAATAAAACTATCTTCCAGAAGCTAGCACTGGCCTCCTCAAAATTCTACTGTTTTTAGCTGCTTAGGTGGGTCAGATTTAAACTTCTCAGTCAAGAAATTCAAGAGTTTCTGGTTCTACATGATCCAGTCCTGCTGGTGTTCTTTGTGACACCAGCAAGTCTGGTGCAGAAATTATTGAAGTGAAGTTACCAAATAGCAGAAGTGAAGGAGAAGAACCATACCCCCGCTCAGCCAGTATCCCAGACCTAGGGCCCACACCACTAGAGCTAGGGCAACGGGAGGGCAGGACAGGATGCTCAGGGAAAGCTCAGAATCCTCATCCTTTCCTTCAAGGGGGCCAACTCAACACACCCAAGACCATATATTTTGGTTTTCTTTTTAATACATCGATTTAAAAAAATTTTAAATAAACAGGAAGAAGGTTGGGCTAGACTTGGCCAGATGTTGCTGGAGTCAGCTATGGGAGCAGGATCCACTTGCCTTGTTTACTATGTCACTTTGAGCAGGAGGAAATGCTGCAACTCCTTAAATAGGTTGGGCTGCTAATTAGCTTCCAGCTCTTAAAGCGAGGGAGCGCTCCAGCAGAGCTGCACCTGTGCGCACAGCCAAGCCTAGGATGGCAGGGAAGGTCGGGAAGGCCCGGGAGCCTAGGGCGAGCCTCCTGCAGTGCCTTCTTCCCTCGTGCAGGTGACTGTGAACTAGGCCTTTCTAGAAAACCTTTCTAGAAACTCAACCCAGAACTTCCACTTTCTAGAAGCCAGCTCTCCTGGCGGGTCAGGCCTAGGGAAGCAGATCGGTTCCTCCACCCACCCACCCTGCTGCCGCAGCCCTTCACCCACCACCTCCCCGCATCAGTACCGCCTTTTCACAATTCGGAAGAAACGGGAAGGTACTTACAGCAGCGGTCTCTCATGGCCCGGAACCTGTTGCAATGAAAACGGGGGTCACTTAAATTTTACAAGGTAAGAAAACAGAAGTAGAAGACACACAGAAAAATGGCAAGGCCGGGACTTCTCGCCAATACCCAGACCTCCCTGCTTCTGGTGCCCGCCCCCGCCCCCGGAGAACTGCGCAAAGTTCTGCGCTGACCGCTATCTCAAGGGCAGACCCGTGCCTGCCGGAGTTCAATGCTCATCGCCTCCCCAACTCCGTGCACTCCTGGGCAAAGCCTTGCTGGTTGTTTGGCTCGACTCTGACTATAACAGGGTGGCCAGTGGGAAAACGGAAAACAGCAGAAAATGGGCCCTCGTGAGTTTCCTTCGTGCACAATCAGCCCGGTGGGTGCACGTCCACTGGGGTGTGGGGTTGCCACCTGGGCTCCTGATCTTTCTGGCTCTGGGAGCAGTTAGGTCTCCTTTTCCAGCTTCAGCTTTGTTTCAAATTCCTCAGCTTTAACCACTGACTACCTCCCCAAACCTGACTTCTCCTCAAAGAAGGTTCAGGCATGGTTGGACTTGCCTTTCCACTCCTTAACCAATTCAAAACAAAGAGCCATTTCCTGAAGAAAATGAGGACTTAAATGATAACCAAGGAGGGGGGAAAATCAATGAGTTAAAAGGTAAATGGCAAGGCTTTAGATTGTTATCTAATTCTATGAGTATGACATGAATTTTCAGCATTGCTGCAAGAGGACCCACACACCCAACTCACAAAGCAGTGGTCCTCTGGGGGGAGGGGGTGGTGGTGGCTAGCTTTAAGTTTTCAGTCTTCTCCAGTTTTATTCCAGGATGGTAATTTGCTATGAGAAGTCTCAGAGCAAAGCCATCTCCACACTCTTCGCCCTCTCCCCACCCACATCACCACTGTTTTATTCCACTCCTGAGGCAGATGCTCCATCCCTGGGAGAAGAGGGGGCAGTAAGTCCTTCCTGTGAGGTGCAAGCCACAATTCCTAACTTTCCATGGCCAGAAGGGAAGGGAAGAAACCTGGGATTTCCATTCTGCTTATTTTATTTTAAGCTCAAATGAGAATTCACTTCAATGGGACATCCCCCAAACAGAAAAGTCAGGGCAAAGAAATCTCCTACCTCTGAAGTTGTGATGGAAAAAGTAATAAGTGACTTACTGGTTTTCTTTGCTGGTAGGCAGGGGCGCTGAGAGTAGAAATGTCTCCTTCTGAGCCCGGCGCTGGCTGGAGCCTCTCACTTTCCTATCGCTGCTCCAGGAACCAAGCATCTGCACTTGTATGCTCTTAACCTAATTTATGGTGGGAATTATATTTTGGCTTGTCAACTCTCAAGCCATAAAACAAAGTTTATTGGAATCACGTGCTCGTAAATAGCCACTCAGGTCCCATCTCTCCAGAACCATAAATAACCTTTGGCTTTAAACTTTTATTCACTAAATAAAGGTTCACTGCAACTGTTCCCTCAGATTTAAATAGTTCCAAATATCCAGAATTCAAGTGAGGTCATATTCATATCAATACCCCAGGCTTTTCAAATAGCATCTTTTCAGAGAAGGCTGTTTAAATTGGGAAGATAGTGCTATTTGGGGAAATAGCACTGGTTGGTGGGCATGTCTTATGATTCTTTGGCTGCATTCGCTGTGAGTACCATCAACCCCTTTATTTCGATCGTTTTCTAGCTTTAGATGTGGTAAAGAGAAAAGTCAAAGGCCACTCACTCCTTACTTGCTTATCCCAGATGTAGGAAATGGTTTGATATTTTTGTTTAAGTTTCAGTAGAGAAAGGATGATTAGGGAGAGACTGGGTGGGCTTGGGGGTGGGGTGGCAACTGGAATTAACACTTGGCTTCCTCTGTATTGTTGTGGATAGGCTTGGTGAAAGTTGAAGATAGCCACATGCCTGGAGGTTTCTATAATTTGCTTAGATCTGAAAGAGAAGCCTTTGCAAAGTGACCAAACTGCTTAAAATAGCAAGACGTGGGGTTTGGTGAAGTGAGAAAGTAGAGAATAGCCCCATTGGAATCTTTGGCAACCGAGGCTCTAAAGAAGGTTATAAAACCATAAAACATCCCTGGTGTGAAGGGGCCAGGGTGTGAGGAAGCAAATGAGACTCTCAAGGAACCCAATCCCAGGAAGTCACATATCTCCAGCTCCCACCCTGCCCTCAGCCACAGAGATCTGGGCTTAGGGGGCTCTGAGGACCCAAAGCTGAGTGGAATCCCCAAGGGAGCTTCCACTGTGTGGAGAGGAAAAAGGAGGGAGGGTTCAAAGTTCTGCTGATCAAGGACTGGGGCCAAGTCCTGCTCTGTCAGAGAGTGTGGCCTCTCTACTTGGGGAGGGCAGGAGAAGAGGGCAGGAAGATGATCCTAGCTCCCAATGATGGGCACAGAGAGTGAGTGAGTGAGCAAGAGAGAGAGAGAGAGTGAGAGAGAGAGAGAGAGAGAGAGCACGAGTGAAGAGAGAATTGACACCCCTTCAGCATTCTTCAATGGCCAGAGTTGCCACCAGACAGTGAAAGGTGTGATTTTGACTTCTATAAAGAAATAATGGATGTTTTATGTAGCTGTGTAGAACACACACACACACACACACACACACACACACACACACACACACATACACACACACACACACACAACTTTCTTAGTCAAATGCAATGGCATCAGTTTCTGTCAGAAAGTTCCTACAAGTTCCATAAAAAGATCCCTCTGAACAAAGATTTCTTTGCATCTTACTTTCTACTTATGCCACATGCACTTCCCAAACTATTTTTTGATTTGACTCTCATTTGTCAGAAAACAAGAGCACTCAGCCCAGATAGTAGGACATCCTTTTCTTCTTTTTAAATCCCATCTGCTTTTTAGGAGAATTTCTTTTTCACATTGGTGGTAGCTGTATTTAAAATATTAGGTAAAGGAAATCCTTCAAAACCACTTTCTGGTTATACTAGCACTGGATGAGCAACTTTAAAATTAATCACTTGTACAAGTTGGAAGGGCTGAGAAAAATTGTTATTTTCAGTGGATAAAAATTAATCAAATGGTATATAACTTTCTAGGAAATTGTCATGAGATTTTCATGGAGATGAAATACAGTGAAAGCAAGCCTAAGGAGGAACAATGCCTAGCACTGAGTTGGGGCTCAGTGAATATACTTTGGATGAAGGTACTAAAGGATGGTGGAGGACACTTGCTTGCAATCTTTCATTGTACCTTACAGAAGAGAGTTAACATTACAAAGCCTACTCTATATTTAAACAGTAACAGGAAAGCTGCTATAAAGTAAGGAAAAGGAGAAAGGAAGGAATACATTGAGGTAGATACCTTTATTTGTTTTTATCTTAGAGCACAGAGGCATAGTGGTTAAGGAGCAAGTATCCACCTTTTGACAATGGCCTCTTGTCTCCCGCATTACAAATGTCCTGGTATTAAAGGGATGAAAGAGAATGTAATGATGGGGAAGAGAAGCTGAGCATCATTGGGAAAAGCAGAGATTGCATGTGCTGTGTTGGGGATTCTCCAGGGCTTGCTTTTGTATTTTACCCTTCCCTCTCTCATTGCCTGAGGTTGACCTAGGGCCTTAGAAATGTAGGCAAGTACTCTTATCACTGAGCTACACCCCTCAGATCACCCTCATCCAAGGTGGTAGTAATGGAAGAGGAGAAGAAGAAAACAGGTTGAGCCTTCTGGGGAAAAATAAAACTGCAAGGAATTAATTTCTGGGTAAAGGGACTCTGGGTACTGTCCCTCCTTTATTTGGCTACAAAGAAGCACCTCTGAGAATTTGTCTAACGAGCTTCTATGAGATAGTGCTTTTGTTTTTGTGTTTTGTTTTTTGGTGCTGATCCTGGGGTTTGAACTCAGGGCCTGGGCACTGTCTCTGAGCTCTACCACTTAAGCTATTGCTCCCCATCCAGCTTTTTTGGTGGCTAATTGAACTGTGATCCTCAGTTCTCAGCCTACTGAGTAGCTAGGATTACAGGTGAGAGCTACCAGTGCCCAGCTCAAAATAAGGCTGCTTATAGAAATTCTTTAACCCAGAATCCAGTGCAGCTCTTAAGAAGGAGAGAGGGATCCCAATCTTCTTCCTACTCTAAAAGCCACTTCTATTGCTCCCACACTCACCTTCCCCCCAAAAAAACTCATTCAGATCTTTGCTCTTAAGAGGCCTCTTGCCTCTTAAGAGGTGGTACTGAGTTATCCTCTTAAACTAAATGTTGGTACAACCAGAAGGAATAGATAGGGATGGGCTTTACATAAACTCACTGACAAAACGCAAATGAAGCAAGGAGAGAGCCCAAGCCTAGTGGTTAAAGACACAGCTGGAGTTAGGGCCAGAGAGGGGCTGGGCAGGCAGTCCCAATCAAGAAAGGCCAATCAAGAGAAAAATATGATTCTATAGTCCTGGCACTATGCTATTAATCCAAAACACTCTTCCCTCTCTCCTACACAATGGAGTAATGAATAGGGTCTTCTGGGAGGAAAAAAAATATCTAAGAGGCAAAGGCCAAATGTCGAAATGGGAACTCCTCCTCCAAAAGAAGAGCTTTGAGGCAGGATGTCCTACTCAAGGACAAGGGCTAGAAGATTCCAGTGATCTCAAAAAGGGCAGGAGTTAAAGCAGTTATTTAAGTGCTAGGAGAACTGGAGCTATATCCTGGAGTGACTGGGGACTTGTGGTGCCATAACCAAGTCTGTGAGCACACAGACTTTACCAACTATGTGAAGAATTGCCTATATGTGTTTTCAGAGAAAATCTAATATCATGGACTCTTAGCTTAGTCAAAAGAAGCAGCTTGACTTCTGTAGGGGCCCTCATGGAAATGAAGTCATAGAAGCAGGGCTGAAGAGACAGAAGCTGGTGGCAGGGAGTATGTACACATGGGGGTTGTAGCCTGAAATAGTATTTGCATAATTTATTAAACATAAGAGTTTTAAGGACTGAGGTGTGGCTCAAATGGTAAAGTGCCTGCCTGAGTCTCTGAATCTAAACATCCTAGAACTGAAGGGGAAAAAAGAATTTTTTAAAAAGCATACTGTTATACTCAAGAAGCTAAGAAGAGAATGGGTATGAAGCCAATTTGGCCTCACTTAAAAAAATAAGTGAGAGGGGCTGGGAAGGTGGCTCAGTGGTAGAGTACTTGCCTTGCATGCATGAGGCTCTGGGTTCGATTCCTCAGCACCATATAAGCAGAAAAAGCTGGAAGTGGTGCTGTGGCTCAAGTGGTAGAATGCTAGCTTTGAGCTAAAGAGCTGAGGGACAGTGCCCAGGACCAGAGTTCAGGGCCCAGGACTGACAAAAAGTGAGAAAGAAAGAATTGCAATGTTTAAGGAATAAGGCTTCTACAAGACACACTTGGCCATGACTCTAGACAAAAATTGAGGGTCTCTAGAGCTGAGCCATAGTTCTAAGGATGAAAGCAGAACAAAAGCAGATTAAAGATCTGGGTGTGATGAATGAGGCCAGGACTCCCTAGCTTCCCTTTTGCTTTCCCATCCCATTGCACATTTCAAGAGACTGAAGATGGTTCTTGCTCTAGAGCTGTAAGAGCCTAAGAAGAACAACCAGCTGAGTGGGAGGACAGTATGATGAAGAAAGTGACCACAGGAGCTGGACAATGGGCATGGTCTCAGGAAAGGCCTGGAGTGGCCTGGAGTTCTCTCCAAGAGTTGAAGAGGTGATGTGTGGGGCCTCTCACCAGAGCAATGGGCATTTGCCTCCTGGCTGGAGCCCTGATAGCAAAGAGGCCAAGGCTTATGAGGCCTACTGCATCTAGAAGATAGTTCCCAGAACTATATTCTCCTGGATCATATACTTCTAGTGTGACCAGCCTCTTTTATCCCCTGTAGAATTCAAGGATTTAGTGATTGGACAGGTATCTCATGCTTTAAAAGTCTAGGCCTTATTGCTGAGCAAAAATGAATTAATAATAAGGAAGATACACTGGATTTTTATGTGCTAAAATACCATTTTAAGTACTTAACTGGGAAGTTAATGTATAAAAGTTGGTAGAATAGTGTCTGATAGGATAGATTATGAAAGTAAAACATCCTTATAACAACTCTTGATGATACCCTTACTTTCCCTACTTTTTTTATCCTCCTTTCTGATAAATGGTAGGGGATGGATTTGAATCCAAAGCTGTCTGAACACAGAGCCTACTCTCTAAGAGCGCTAAGCCCCCAAAAAAGGGATAAATGGACCCTTCCCTAAAATGGGAGCAACTACTCACCTATATGATCATAAACTCAAATATGTATGTGTATGTTGTGTGTATGTTTGTGTGTGTAGTCCCCAAGGTCTGGGAGATGCCGAATTGTAACCGCCAAGAATGAATTTGGCTTCAAGAAAACAAAGAACCAAGCAAAAAGACCTTTGTCCAGTGGTATTCAAACTTAAGTATGCATCCTAACCTCAGAGAGTGTGTTCAAATGCAGCTCCCTGTGTAACACACCTAGATATTCAGTAGTTTAATGGAAATAAAAAACCTCTTATCAACAAAAGGTTTAGGTTCAGGCCTTCACTGAGAATCATCACCCAAGGGTAGTAAAAGGTGCTCTGGAAAGTCTGCATTGCTAAGAGACAATAGAGGATCAGTAGAGTTGAGTCAGTGCTAGATGTTGACATTATGTGTCACCTCTGGTGCAAAAAGTATGTGTTAACCAGGGCCCAGTGGCTCACAGATGTAGTCCTAGCTACTCAGAGGTCTGAGATCTAAGGATCAGAGTTCAAAGCCAGCCTGGGCAGGAAAGTCTGTGAGACTTTTATCTCCATTTAGCCAGGAAAAAAGGAAGTCAGGTGGAGTTGTGGCTCAAGTGGTAGAGCAGAAAAGCTTAGGGACAATGTCCAGGCCTAAATGCAATCCCCAGGAAACAGACAGACAGACAGACACACACACACACACACACAGTGTATGGGGGTGGACAAATATCAGGCTTGTGTTGAGGTTGAGAGGAGTATGTGTTAGGCATGCACATCTGTGTGGCTCTCCAGCAGAAGAGTTGAATTTGCCTGGGTTTGTTGGAAAGCAGTTCCAGATCCAGGGCCTAGGCCTTATCCTAAGGAAGGAGGGGCATGGCACCTTATGCTTTCGCAGGCTGCCTATTCTGAGTACTAGGCATCCAGGGACAATGGCAGGAACAGTGGCCCTGGAAATGGTTGTTTCTGTAGGTTGGAAGCAGCTTACCCCATTACAAGAACCCTGGTGCCTGCTCTTCAGAGCAGAGTGCGGAAATCGCGCCCCCTCTGGGAAGGAGGAGGAAATGAGGTAGCCCTCCAGCGCGATGCGGCCTTGTGGCTCTCGGGAACCCCGCAGCTGCCTCCCTTGGACGCCAGGAGAGGTGGCCCTTGAGGGTGGGTGCAGTACCCCAACCTTCCTGGAGGCTGGACGTGCACCGCGTGAGGAGGAGAGCAAGGGGGAGGGGTGGCTCCCGGTGTCCATTCCTTCCCCGCCTGCTCCCGCCCGGGGCATCTGCCGCCTCGCCGCAGCCGGCGAGACGCTTGTCCTACAGCGCCTCCTCCTGGACAAGGTGCCAGACAGCGGAATGAAGAGGCTGCCAGCCCCGGAAACCCGAGTGCAGGGGGGCTTGCCCCAGCAGATCTCCCCCCAACCCCACCCCACCCCCGCACCAAAGGCTGGTCTTATCATGTCCCCTGGGGCAGCTGGAAGAAGACCCTGAGTCCCCCCCCCCCACACACACACCGCATTCCGTCTCTTCCCTGTACAGACAACAAGCTCGTGGCCCAGAAGCCCGCATCCCTCATTAATTAGGCCAGCCCAGGCGGAAAATCCCTCCAGTTTGTTGGTTTATTTCTTTATTTACTTGACTGCTCTCTGCTGAGCCTCTGGCCCCCCAGAGCCCTAGAACGTGCTGCGCTGGCGTAACAAGATCCGGGAATGCTCTGCCTGGGGAATTGGCCTGAAGTTTGGCGGTTTGAACAAGCGCCAGGAGGAAAGGCCTTTTCCCAGAGCAGAAAATCTACTCTGTGTGTGTGTGTGTGTGTGTGTGTGTGTGTGTGTGTGTGTGTGTGTGTGTGTGTGTGTGTGTGTGTGTGAAGATTCTGTTTTGCTTTCTATTTGCAACCTGTTTCTAACACACGTTTAAAATGAGGCGGAATGGAAAGTCTAGATTGAAAATAATGCACTCAAGGGCAGAGCTAGTTGGCTATATTTAGATGGAAGGCTGGAATAAAAGAAAGATGAGCGGCAAATCCTGAGGGAGGGGTAATGGAGAGATCTCTGGTTATGTCTTCCTGTCCTGAGTCCACTCACCCCATCCCCCCATCCGTGCCATGTGGGTTGTATCTCTAGCTGGATTATCAGCACTGCACATGCGCTGGGCGCCTGGCGAGTGTAGGTGGCCAGCCTTGGGGGGTGTGGGGACCACTGAGCTGTGTCTACAGTGGGCAATGTGAGTGTGCAATAGGCACATTCCCAATGAGATTGGCTGCAAAACAAGAAATGTACTTTTCTTTTTGGGGAAACCCTTTATAAAAAGCTGCTGCCGATCTTTCTGGTTTCCAAGTCCAGTTCCACTTAACCAACAAAATCTCCATATTGCCAATGAACGCCACCAGTGCTGTCAGTTGGCTCAGTCATTTAGCATCTAGGACACTTAGTTTTCCCTAAAAGCTGGGGGAAACGGCCCCCACGTTCAGAGAGCACAACTTCTTAATTCTGCAGAACTATCCTGCTTAAGGAATCTATTCCGAAAACACGGAGTATCAATTTACATCATTTCCGGAAAGGTGGGCCTAAATTGGATTTAAATAGGAATTCTTGATAGCTTCTCTCCAGCTTCCGGTGCCCCCACATACTCTGCCTGGCCGCCGCACTGCGGCAAGGCCGTAAATACCTCTAACAGCTGCCTGCCAGCCCAGGGTGAAATACTGTCTTTGTTCGATTTCCCCTGCCTCTCAGACTAAGAGAACAGAACTCTGGCAAAATATATTTATTTGTAGGAACACATGATCGGAAAACCGCTTGTTTTTCAGCCTTTGGTTCCTGGCGACCTTGTAATAGCAAGCTACACTCTTTCCTGGTCTTCCTGGAGCTCACTAGCCCATCTTATATCCTGACCTAAAGACCCTCACCAAGGCTCACACGTTCTATTTGCTTCCTAATCTATAAATGGTGGAGGATCCGGCTGGCCACCAGCGCTGGGAAGCAAGCTTCCAGGCCCATGAGCTCTTAAGAACACGAGTATTTTTTTTAATTTCGTTTCGTTTTTGTTGGGGATAGTGGATTAACAGAGACAATGGGGACAAGTCTGGCAGGGAGGCAACTACCTTAACTAATTTCCTTGAAGACTAAATCGTCTGTGTTCAAATGTGATTTGCGGGTTACTTATTCTTTTAGATGCAATCAAACATTTCTTTCCAATAACCTGCTAATGCTATCATGGGAATTGTAAAGAGCACCTCAGTCCCCTCTGTCTGCCATGACATCACCGTCTGCTGTGTTCTGTGTAATAGGACCTGTAGCCCGCCTAGGTCCTGGTCACTAAACCCAGAAAAAAATATTGAAACTCTGAACCTAAGCTACAGCTTAACTTACACAAATCCACCTCCCGCCCCACCCAGCCCAGTAAACCCAGAGGATCCTCTAGACCTGGAGCTGCCTTTGCCCCTGCCGGCCTAAAAACCAGTCAACTGGTCTGCTTTTCAACTGAGAATGGGTCTTAACATCACCATACTGCAGTAGAGAAAAAGCCATGCAATAGAGACATTCCAAATTAAAGATAGCACTCTTGTTTATTTGTAAATGATCAAAGTGAGTAGCCCAGGACAATTCTGCAGACATCAACTGGTCACCAATCATGGCCTCCATTTTGAAAGCACGATGATTCCATCCTTAATAACTAAAAATACTTTTCTACCAATATGTCATTCATTGTTCAGAAATGCTTTCGCAGCCAACAGTGATAACACTGGAATAATACGCAGGAGAATAAATTAGGATTTTCTGTTAGGTGATTTGGAGAAGATGCCCTGCTATGCCTATGCGCAGGTCAGCCCTATGCGCAATGCGGCAGATTGGTTGAAAGGTTTTAACATTTCACAACGTGTTCATGAAAGAATAGGCAATAGGAGCTGCAAAAGTGCTGTTCCAAATGGGGAGGGGAGGGAGAACCACAGTATTTTGTTCTACAAAGCTTTTAAATTTTTTTCCCAGTGTGTTTGGTTCAGTAGTTTTGAAGTACAGGGGAAACGTATTGCTGTGCAATATTTACTAGTAAGAATCCCAATACATTTAGAAAGCACAAAGACCTACTCTTCCTACTCACAAATGAGAAACACACGCGATGTTTGAACTTAGAAATGCTTCACATTTCTGAAATATCTATTGGGTTTCTCCAAAGACCTGCAGCAGATTTTCTGACACTATGACTTCTCCAACCATGCATCTATTTTGTGACATTAAAATAGTCCAAATTTACCTTATAGATAATCAAACGCAGGACAACCTATCTTTGAGTTTTACATTATTTTTTTCAGGAGCTAGAGAAACATTTTTAAATACTTAAAATTTAATCTCATACATAAGGCCCAACAAGCCACAACCCCTAGAAATGGGCCATCATGTAGACTCAGCAAAGCCTAGATTCAAAACTCAAGCTCTTCCTGGGTCCACAGAATCTCCCTCACCCCCACACAGTCCCTAACCCCCCAGGAAACACCTGTCGCCTCTCTGATAATTCTAAACAGAGAAGAACCACAAAAACCATGCTGGTCTGTAACATAAGGTGCCTGTATTGACCCCCACTCCCACTCCCAGCAAAGCTGAGATGTCCGGGAACCTTTTACACTCCCTTCTCAGGGAGGGATTGAGGGGCCATCTATTTTGACAATGGGGATCCGTCTACTGCCACCCACAACTCGGAACCTTTGAGGGATCCAAAGCCTCCCCCCTTTGACTTCCTCACCCCACAGGACCGCAATCTCTGCCCCAGGGGACGTTCTGGGGACGGGGTGCTTCAGGAACAGGGTCGTGGACACCAACCCCTCCCCCAGGTTCCTGGGATTTTAGGGACTGTACTAGGCTCACCGACTGTCCGAGGCGGTGCACGCCTCCAGCTCGGCGCTGGCTGCGCTCAAGATTCAGAGTTCGGGAAAGGGTTGGCTTACCGGGGAAGCTGCCACGCCGGAGGCGGCGGTCGGCCGGGGAGGCTGCAGTAATCCATTAGGCGCTGCCGAGTAGCGCGCATCCCGGGCGGCCAGCACCGGCTCGTGTCGGAGAGGGAACTGGGTCGAAACCGCGGGGCAGCGGCCACCGCAGCAGGCCGGCAGCTCCCGGCGGGCGGTGTCAGCGCCGGCGGGGGGCTCGGCGCCCGGGACTCCTTCCGGGCTCCCCCGCCGGGCTCCCCGCCGGCTCCGGAGGCGGCCCCAGCGAGCAGTGGCGGGGTTGGGCTGGACGCCGGGCGGGAGCCGAGGCCGCTGCGGACCCCGCAATCCCGCAGCCGGCGACTGGAGCCCACCTCTGCAGAGACAAAGGTTAGAAAAAGAGGGGGTGAGGCTCTGGGAAAGCAGAATGCGGGGGGAAATTCGCCTGGGAAATCAGGAAAAAGGCCGTGAAGGCGAGCGGCGCCTGCACATGACCAGCCGCAGCCAATGACGACCGCAAATAGGTCATAAAAAGGTCTATTACCAAGTTGTAAATTTTCTTCAAACAAAAAGGAATTTACTGCAATTCCTTGCGGATTTTGCACATACAGCTCACAAGCGCCATGTTTTCCCCCTCTCTCTACCTCTTTCTCTTTCTTTCTCCCTCTCTCTCTCCCTCTCTCTCCCTCCCTTTCTCTCTCTTTCCTCTCCCTCCCTCTCTCCCCTTCTGTGTCCCATCTCCTTTCTCCTCTTGGTCTTTTCTCCCTCCCTCCCTCCCTCTCTTCCTTACTCCCCCTTCTTTCCTCTGTCCTCCTCTCTCTGTTTTGCTTCCCTGCCAGATTTTTTCTTCTTTCTCTTTCTCTTTCCTTCCTTCCTTTCTTTTTCTTTCCTTCCTTCCTTCTTCCTTTCTTCCTTCTTTCCTTCCTTCCTTTCTTTTTCTTTCTCTTTCTTTTCTTCCTTCCTTTCTGTCTCTCTCTCTCACACACACATTTTCTAGGAATTCTTCATAGAAGAAGAATCTGCTCAAAACCTCTGTGTAGTTGCTGTGTGGGAGGAAGTGTCACCTCCCACCTAATGTCTCCCTTTACATTGGACACACACACACACACACACACACACACACACACACACACACACACACACACACACACAGAGGCAGAGGAACTCCCAAGAGCTTTTGGGCTTTTACTCTCTAACCTTGGGCAAGCCAACCCTGATCTTGCCCAGAAAACCTGGGCTCTGTAGACCAAGAACTGTCACAAGCTCTCCCCTCCCACTCTGCTGCAATCTAAATTAGGGTCCCTCCCATTTCCTGCAGGGTCCTAAGGCTGGAGAGTCACCAAACACCTGGAAAGGCCTGAAATGGCTTTAGTATCTTGTCAACCTCTGCAGAACCCTATTTTTGAGAGCCTACTGTTTGGCCTTTATCTCCACAGAAGCTTCCTCCTGGACAGTTTGGAGTTAGGTAGGAAGCAATCTTTCGGCCTCCCCTCAGGAATTCCTATCATTAGGTCCCATCTAAGAGTAATTTTTGTAATGGAATTTAATTCTATTCTTCTTATGAAACCCCTCCCTTACCCCAAGTAAGTGTCCATTGAAGAGCTTGCTCAATGAAATTCTGGAGAGAGACTTCCCCATAATCAGCCTAGAAATAAAATATTCTCCTTGAAAGCAAGTACCACACCTCTTTCGTCTTTTCCATATGAACTGTTCTAGTGAATCTTCCTGAAAGTAAATGTCTTTGTCTAGCCCCTCACATTTCCCTCATGGACCTGCCATCCAGGCACAGTACCTGCCTGAATGGGTAACCACCACCACCCTTCCCAGGTCTTCCAAACCTATCTAGCGATAGGTTTATGTTCATACTGCCTATCTGTGTGTAAGTCCTCTGCTATCAACATCTTCACCTCCAGTAAGTACCCAATTGAACTTGGGCTTAAGCAGAAAAGAGTACATTGTCCTCTGGGACAGGCCATTTGTGTCCCATGAGAAAGTTCCAATAGCCTTGGATAATTTTAATAAAGATTTCTGTGGTCATATGTCACCAAAGTTCTGTCTAGAAAAAACCAGTGGGCCCTAATTTTGCTGGAGGACCAAGATCCATTAAAATGTTCTCTCTCTTCCCTGTCTACCCCTAGGTGTCCAAGAATTCAGCAAACACTGGGAAAGCAGAGGACAACAGCTTGCATGTAAAACTTAATGCACTGAAAAATAAAACTATTTTTATTATACAAGTAAATGGAAGACATTGCTAGGCCTCCCAAGCCCAGAATATTTTATATTGTTTTATATCTATGGAACTAAGTAAAAGGCATTGTGTAATTCTAAAATTTTCTGAGAAATAATCAATACCCAATTTGCCTCTTTATATTCATCCATTCTACCATAATAAAAGTGGAGTTTATGCCCCCTCCTTTTCAGCTTGGGGTTGAGGACTAAGAAAAGACTGAACAGAAAAGGCAGCCATATTTGCAGGTTTTTCTCCTTTGCAGAGGTAAAGCAATGTATACATCTTTGTGGACCTTACAAAATGGTAACCATAAACATAACTTCTGTATAAATGATTGGGTGATTGCTGGTCCTTGCAAACAGAGCTCCAAATCATGGCATTTTCCCTAATGTTAATATTCAAGGGCTCTATTTTTTTCATTCAACAGTTTACAGACTTATTTGTCTCAGTCCACACAAAAATAACACCACTTGGGATTCCAAAGGGTTCTCAGAAAAATGTATGCAAATCTACACAGCAAAAAATCTTGTTGCCGCAATGCTTGAATGTTTATGATCTGAGCCAATTAGAAAGACAAGTATGTGCTCGTCACCGCTGGTCTGCCTTCCTGAGACACCATGTTGGGGGGTGGGGATATGTAGCCATTATGAGAGAAGGTGGATATGATGTGGTCTTAATCTGTAACTCTCATATATGAAAGGAAACATATACCCACATTTATAACCAACACTAGGCATGTGTGTAACATGTGCACCTACAAGTTCATATTCTCAAGTAACACTATTGTAAGCCATTTTCTGTATATAAGCTATGATTTTTACCATGTTTTAGGGAGATGATGGAGCCTGAATGTACATTACCACAGCAACATAAAATGTCAATGAAATGACATTTTTACCTTCCTTTCTTTCCTTGATTTCCGCCTCCACCCATGCAAGTAGGTCCCTTGCTGAGCAGAATCCTACGGAAGTCGGTAGCCCTGAAAGTGGAATCTAGGAAGCCAGAATTTTAGTGGGAGACAGCAAATTGTACAGAAGGTTCCCTTAAATCAAAGGCAGCTGGAGTTTAGCCAGCACCCGTCTTTGGGCAGTTTATGCCTAAGGCTGTTTCCAAGCACTGCTTTCAGTCCTAGGCATCCATACTATGTACCAGCCAACAGTAGTCTCAGGCAGCGCACAGAGCAGAATGTTCCTAAATCCAGCATGCACATTTGCAGCTGTCTCTTCTGGTGCAAATGTTTAAGCCTCAGCCACCCTTGACTTAAAAATGGTCTTTCCTGGCTTAGGTTAGCGAATGTCACAACTACAGCCTCTTCCTGGGTGGAAAACTAGGTGGTCCTTTGCTTCTGATCGAGCCAGTTCTACCACTTCTCTCGTCCAAGTGTTAGCAGGCAAACAACTTACTGAGGGGGTGAGACTCCCCCAAAACGAACAAATCCTTTTTTCTTACTCATGTGATTATTTTGGAAATAAATGTTTATAAGCAGAGCCTTTCACTGTTTAGTGTTTTTGCCTTTCAGGGAAAATGTTACTTGAATTTCTTCTTTCTCCTCTTCCCTCTCCCTCCTCCATGTAAAATGGCAGCTGCAAGAGCAGCCTCCATTGGGAAATAGATATCTTGATAATAATAGATGCCAAAGCCCGGTATCAACTGCGACTCCATGGAATTACACTGTGCTGTAATCTGGACTGTGGGTCCTTCCCTCACTGGGCCTTACAACTGGAGACCTTTGTGAAGTTCTAAGCTTTCACAGAATTTTAGGATTATTTAGAGCAAGACAGAGTACGGGTAGGGTAGCGATAATCATTCCTCTCTGGAATGAGTGCCCACCCCCAGCATTTAAACACACACACACACACACACACATACGCCAAAAAACGCACTGCATGGGACCAGTTACTCCCACCCCTTTCCTATCAAACAGAAACCTGGAGCAAGTTGCTGCCTTCTTGTGAGCCCTGGCCATTGTTTGCCAGACACTGAGGGAAAGGGGTATCTGCCACAGAAAGGTATATTTGCCACAACACTCAAAGACATTAGCTCTAGAAAGAGTTTGATTTCTTTATTAAACGCTAGCTAAGTACTGGAGCGGTTGTTTACACTTGGAGGTTTCTGCATTTGCTCTCAGGGCTTGTTGCAAATAGGTGATGAGACCATAGCTTTCCTGAAGAACAGCAGAGGATGTACCAACCGACTTCTGAGATGCACACAGCAAGTTGGCTTAAAAGCAGCAGGCGAACACAGTGAAGGGAATACAAATAAATATGGCACCTACTTAGAACAGAATCACAATGGCAGCCTGGTCTGGAGACTTAGGTATTTCAGGTGATTACAAGTGAAGTTCAAAATGAAAGCAAAGTAACTCACCAGAGCGACGAAGAGTTAGTGAAAATGTTATAATTGGTTTTTCAAGTATTAATTTACTCTGAATTATTTGCCATTCATTTGTAGGGATGAGAGAAAATGATAAAAACACCAATTTTGACATTGTCCTGAAAGTCTTGTCACTGGCCCAACATTTTCCTGAAGTTTAAGGAAGCTGTAGAGCCTGGAGTACACATTACACTCTTCAGCGAACATGTGCTTTTCAAATATTTGGCCCAGACTTTTTCCCTGACACGTTACATTTACAAAATACACAAAGAAATCTTTAAGGAGTAAATAAAAGGCATCCAACATATCCACTATAAAAGCAGGGGAAAAACATAAATAACACATTTTAATCAAATAATATAAAGTAAATATTCTGCCAGCATAATTTTAAAAAATCAATAGACATTTTAATTTACTCACCATAAAGAAAAGATTTTAAAATGTTCAAGTGCACTTGTTTGATTAATAAAGCATTTTATATTCAATCATTTAGTGCTAATCATTAGGAAGTTTACGTTGTTGAGACAAATCACCAGCTCAGACATTAAAAACCACCATTATAAAAATATAGCTACAAGGTCAGTATCAAGTTACCCTTTTTATAGGACAGTTATAGGCAGCCTCTATGCTATACTAGAAACTTTTTTTAAGACACCCCAAATCCCTCTGAAAGTGTAGAAACCTCAAGAGCAGTGACATGAAGGTAGCTTAAAACACAGGTAAGGTCCTGTTCAGAAAAAAGAAAATCGGTGGTGTCTACCAGCATATGTTGATCATTAGTTTTAATAGTCTGTGGTAAAAATTTAAAGGTAGAAGTTAATTTGTCGGGTCTTCAGCCCTGTCTTCCTCCAGTTCTGGGACTTCTTTTTTGGTTTCCCCGTCCTTCACCTCCTGCCGGGAAACGGGAAATTTGTCCTTGTTGTTCTCCTTTTTCCATTTCATTCTCCTGTTTTGGAACCAGATTTTTACCTGTCTCTCTGTGAGGGCCAGGGCGTGGGAAACCTCGATTCTTCTCTTCCTGGTCAGATAAGGGTTAAAAAGGAATTCCTTTTCCAGCTCTAAGGTTTGGAAGCGACTGTAGGTTTGTCTTCCTCTTCGTCTACCTGGAGCTGCTGATTAAAACAAATAAAAAAAAAAAGGAGGGGGAAATGAACGTTTTTTTTTTTAAAATGTGGTGTCTCCGCTTGTTGGTAGAAGTTTCTGGAAACGCTTAAGGGGGAAATATACACAGTGCTCTTTAGCTCTGATTGACACATGTGCACAGATATATACATATGTATATACACACATATATATGCGAGTGTGTGTAAGGTGTGTGAGCAAAAGCAGCAAAGACAAGGTCTTGGTGATCATTCTGTCCCCCATCATCTTTTCATGATTTCTACTTTAGGAAGAAAAAAAAAATCAGTCTGCATTACTTTATGAGCCACTGTGGCTACACAGAAGGAAAAGGAGGGGGAGAGGGAGAAGACAAGGGAGTTTTAAAGCTAGAACGTGAGATGAAAGCAGATTTCTCCCCTATTCCCCTCTGTTTAAAAAAAAAAAAATGCATCCCAACCTTGTGGTCTCATCCAGGGAAACATTTGAGAAGGAGACGAGCTCTGATTTAAGTGGTCTGGGTCCTCGCCAATATTACCACTGGACGATTTACAGTCAGGATATTGTACCAGCTCGGCCTCTTGCTGGGTCGTAAAAATCGGCTGTCTCTGTAAGTTATCGTATCCGTAAAACTTCGCGGGCTCTCGGTGACAGGCAATCCCGCCGCAGGGGGGAGGCGGCGGCGGAGGCGGAGGGTGCGGAGGAGGAGGTGGGGCGGCCTGGTAGGCTGCGGCCGGGCTGCCCCCGCCGGGGTGGAAGTAGTCCTGGCCGGGACCCGGGCCGCCCCCACCGCCGCAGCCGGGCGGCGGGGACGCGTGCGGGTGCGCTTGCGGGGGCGCGTGCGGGAAGCCGACGGCGCTGTTGCCATAGAGCTGCAGGGCGGCGGCGTGGCGGCCGCCGACCTCCGGCGCGAAGTGACAGTCGTAGTAAGTGGGATTGATGGCCTCGCTCGCCGCTGCCGCCGCCGCCGCCGCCGCCGCCGCCGCGGCCGCCGCCTTGTACTTGGAGTACAGCGGGTTCACGAAGTACGAGCTCATCGGGGCGGCGGCCGAGGGCCAAGGCGGCGCGGGAGGGCCGGCGGCGCGGAGCAGGCGGGGGAGCGGGGCGCGCGTCTCCGCCCGGCCGGCCTCGCTGCCGCGGGGGCCTCTGGGGCGGCCGCCGGGGCCGCCGGGCTGCGTCGTCGCTGCTGCCGCCGCCCGCTCGCCCGCCCCGCGCGCGTCGCCGCTGAGGCCCGGCGCCCGGGCGCTCGCTACTGGGCACTCATGCCCCGGCGCTGGTGTCACCGCCTCGGCGTCGCGCCGCCTCCCGCGCGGGTCCCGGGGCCTCGCCCAGCCCCCGCGCGCCGCGGCCTCTCCCGGCCTTCCCCGGCGCGCGCCGGCTCAGCCGCAGTGTAATCACCGACGCCCCGGGTGACCTGGCCCGCCGCCTCCACGGCTTCTTCCAGGCACCAGGCCGTGCTCGCGCACCGGGACAAGAGGGGGGGGAAAAGAAAAGAAAAACAAGTGGCCCGGCCCCCGGGGATACTCTGGCTTCGGTGTACAAACCTCCGCTCTGGAGGGAAACGAAAAACACAACCACACAGCCCCTGCCCGGTGCCACCTCTCACCTCACCTCCCCCTCCGCCCCCTCCCACCGCGGCCGCCGCCGCCGCCGAGGCTGCCGCCCCGGTGCGCGCCGGCGAGGCATTTTCGCACCCCGCCACTGCGCGGAGCGGGAGCGAGATGGGGGCGAGATAACCGCGCGGAGGGATCCACGCGGCGGCGAGGAGGCGCGGCTCCGACGGGACGCTTCACGCCGCCCAGAGATGCCTCCGCCGGCCTTAAAGGGGGCCCATAAAGCCGCACCGCCAAGGGCTCGCCCGTGCCCCGGGCGGGGAATGCCGACTGCAGCCCGCAGAGAGGGGGCGCGGCCGAACCTTACACTTGGGGGAAGCTGGAAGGTCACTCTCAGGGAGGCTGCCGAGTAGCTGACTCGCTTTCCAAGCTCCTGGGAGCTACCCCCTCAGAAATTAGGCATGGCGTTTGCATTTCCCAACACGCGGGGAATATGGCCCGGCGAGGTTGCCCGACCGGACCAGGCCCATTTAGGTGGTTTGATGAAAGGCTACCAAGGTGGCCCCAAACCCTGGCGTTATCAAAGCGAATCAAAGTCCCGCTTTTCCAGCTGAGCGGGCCTTGTGGAGACGCACATTTACCCTTGACGCACGGCATGCCTGGCCGAGGCTCCCGGGTTAATTGATATTTAATGGAAATCATGCCCATGAATATAGTTTCCATCATTTCACCCTTGATAGACGTCAGCCGGCGCGGGGGAGGGGAGGCTGGAGATGTGGACGGGAGCCTTGGCACTGCGGAGGCCGTGAATAGGTGCGCAGTGGGAGAAGTTCCCAGCGGGGTAGGGGGACTGGTGCTGGGGCGGGTGGCATTTCTTGGGGCAGGGTGTGAGGCACTGTACCAGCCCTGGAGCGGAGCTGACCCGGGCGGGCTGGTGCTCCAGATGGAGGGCGGGGGGAGGGAGTGTGTGCTCCCTGGTCTCCCCCCTCCCACAATCTCCCGCGGGGGCTCTCGGGTCCCGCCGGTTCCAGGCGGCTTGGGGCCACCGGGCCCCGTTTTCTGCTAAGGATTCTAGTTGGTCCGTCAAGCCTGCGAAATAGCTGTGGAGAGTCGGTGCAGGCCTCAGCCTTAAGTTACTAATTTCCCCCAAAGAAATCGGAGACTCAGCCTAGTTTGTGAGCGGTGAGGAGGAGACATAGCCACAGAGTCCTGTGGGCAAGTCGAGTGTGAACGGACACAAAGTGACTGATTGTAGCAGCTCTTTCCAACGCGACTTGTGGCTTTACACCACCAACCACCTCCCCACACACTTCTTTTTTCTTTTTCTTTTTTCCCGTTTTAATGTTCAATAAATATGATGGTCTCTGCTGTCTGTGAGTGGGTGTCTGTCTGTCTGTCTGCCTTTTCGTGGGGCCTTTGGGTGCTGGGCCCCCCTTTCCTACGGAGTAACCCAGGTCCTGAGGGCCCCGGTCCCATGGGCCTCAGGACACGCGCCAGCCCACCGAGGACGCTCCTGCTTCATCTCAGACACACCATCCCTACTTTCCACGACAAATGCAAACGTCTAAAGCCCCAGACTGGCCTCAAGACGCTGCAGGCCCGAGGTTTCAGTTACTGTCCGATCTCAGCCTGGGTGAGCGGTGATCCGAGGTGGATCAAAGTGGACTGAGCATTCTTTTTATAAATGGACAAAATAAAGTCGACAAGGAAATCCATAACGATAATAATGTCTGGCTCAATTATTTCTACAGGGATGCCTGGAAAAATGGTGAAGGTAAACAGATTGTTGATGAATCGGAGATATTTTATTGAAATTGTTGCTGGGGTGAATGAAAGGCAAGTTTGGTTCCCCCCCCCCCCGCCCCGCCTATTATTATTAGGTAGCTTTAAGTTTGAAGGGAAACAACGGATTCTGACAGTTGAAGATTTATTTATAATTCAGTTTTGCAAACATGATAAAAATTATTTTGGGGAGAAGGATGAAAGGGATGACGTGCAAGATGCATTGTATTCATAAACTGATTTATTAAATAGCAGCTCCTTTGTACAACTACTTAAAGATAATATGTAATTTTTAAGAAGTCATTTTCAATAAAGCCTTAGCATGAACTTTGTAGCTGTGCCTTTTTATTCTACTGGTAGGTGTGGGTTCGGTGTGGGCACACCTGCACATGTTTGAACCACAGATAAATGAATAGATTTGGAAGTGGGAGGGGGGAGACAGAAAGCCTAGATATCAATAACACCTTTTAAGAGTTGTATGAGGCAGACATGAACACAACAAAATGTATTCTGCACATTCAGTCCTAATTTAGAAAACATTGCATGTATTTCCTCTTGGGACAAATTCCTTTTTAAAAAAAAATTAAGCATTCTGTTTATAATCAACAGAAAGAGTGTGACTAACTTAGTAAATAAATGTCTATGCTTTTACACGTTTCTGTTTCGATAGAATGCATTAATTTACCATAACATTTTATAGTTTCAGCTGCGCCATAGTCCAGATTTTTCGGAAATCCTGACTGCGCCAAAATGTTATGGCCAACAAACACGGCTGGATAATTTAATAGTTCACATTGTTTATTTTTGTTAAATTCATCCTAATTTGGGATTAAAATAAGATTGTAAATATTTTTAATCAAATCCTTATTCCACGGTAACGCTAGCTTTACGAGATCAGAAAGTGGAGCAATAGCGCCCTCTAGTGACAAAATGCCAACTCAAGCGGCCGAATTTAACTTCCTTTTTATGAGCCTCAAACCAATTCTAATCTTGTTCTTTGAGAACAAGGCTTGGACTGCTGACACTAATAAAGCTTCATCTCTTGGATTGTCAACAAGTCAAGTGCAGCAAGCAGAGGCTCCTGCATATCAAGGATATTCTCATTTGTGCTCCCAAGCCTAAAGACTACAGTAAGCCCTTCTATTGCCAGACAAGGCAGGTTCCACTTCTGTAGTCCTCCAGATGTGATTTTAAAGCACAATTGTTGGACAGTTTACATAACGAAAATCACAACTTTTAAAATGCTGATTGCATTTTTTCTTTTTTTCTTCTTCAAATGAGCCACTAATGACTAAGGCACTATAGAAATTATAGAAACCAATTGTTATTTTTCTTTTAAAGTTGTGCTTTTTAGCATGAGTCAAAGAATACTTATTTAACTTTCTAACGGTAGTATTTTACGCTCACAAAGCTGGGCAGTGGGGATGGAGAGAGGTTGAGTCAAATTAAAGGCCTTTTGCTGGATCTCTGCATGGCTGTCTGGAAAGTCCCTGGAATTGTGTTTGTTTGAATTTTTGTGAATAATAAATGGGATTTAATTGTTTTACCTCAAAAGTCGCATAATACACAGAACTGACTAAGCAGTCCATGTGAATTTTTCTTAAAAGCAATGGCTATTAAATCAGTTTAGGTGTTTGCTGCTAGGTTAATCTTTCCTTGTCTTTAAGAAATGCTTTCCACCAATCTAGGTATAATGATTATATCTGCAATAAGTGAACAGATAAAATGCCAATATTTTAGCTATGCAGATTGGAGTGGAGGGCTCAACGTTTTTTGAGAAAAGTCATTCATTTTTTCCTCCACCAACTACACTTCTGGAAGACTCTTTCGTGGAGTAAATACCCCCCAAATCATTAACCTTCCTTCTCTCAAGTAACAAGGTGGTGTTATTCTCTGGTTTTATTTTGTTTTCAAAGAATTAGCTAAACCATGACTGCATTCAAAATATTATTGAGCCACTGGTCATAAGCTATTTTTGATGCTCAGCTTGTTTTTAAAGTCAGAAATACATCATCTCCTTCCCTCATTTTGATTTCGTAGGTGTTCCCATCTCATCCAGAGGTTCCTAAGCCCCTAGCCTTCTTGGTCCAACTCAGTTTTGTTTATATTTTATTGTCCAGACTTTAAGACCCAGTTTTGTCTGCATTTTTCCTTTCCTTCCACCAACATCAAAATGAGATGGTTTCAAAGCGAAGCGCCTGGCCAGTCGTAAACTCATTACCTCCAGACGTCTGGCCAGCCCGATGGCTTTATGACACCTTGGCTCTTCCTGTTTTCAAAGAGCTCTAGGTATCTGGCTGGCTGCAGGGGAGGGGGGACAACAGCACCTTCGGCCGGATCTGGCCCTTGGCTTTCCCTCCCAGCCCCCCCTCGCTTTTTCTTCGAGCCCCCTCTTTCATCAGGAGCCCCAAGATCTCTACCACCGCCCCCTCCCTTCCGCCCAACCCAGGCTGCCCGGCGCCGCCGCCTCCTCTAGGGCCTACAGAGGCTGCTCGGCCAGAACCCTCACTTACAATGACCTTCATTTTAGCCTCTGAAGGCAGACCGCAGAGGGCCGAGCTGGGGGCTAAACGTACACGGAAGCTGGGTGGAGGGAAAGGGGAGGTGGGTTGAGGATGGCCAAGAGGAGTGCCTTGACCATTTTGATCCGCTAAGGTCACTTTGGAGCTGTAGTGGGGAGAGGCCGGAGCTCCCAGCCTAACCGGTTGAGACCTCGCAGAACCAGCTAGCTCTGGGGACTTAGGGGAGTTGCTCCGGAGGGCCGAGTTAGCCTTTCTTTCCCTTGTTTGGAGACTGGGGTCAGCTGCTGGGACTCCACGATCGGAGGGTGGCACGGTGAGGTGAGGTATGCCAAAGCCTTATTAGCAAGCATGCCTGCTGCCTGGGGCCACGGACTCTGCGACTCCGAAAGGCCAAGTGTGGCCCAAGGCAGAGAGTTAGTTCACCGAGGTGCTGGCACCAGGATGGGGAGTGCGCTAAGACCTCTCCCAGAGGCTGCACTCCAGTTTGGGTTTGCACACACAAAGGGAAGCTCAGGGGCACATCAGAGAGAACGGCCAGGTAGAAGGGCCCTGAAAGTCTGCACGTCTCCCTTCCAGGGATGGAGAAATCGGTGTGGTCTGGGTGATATTTTGCAGAGAGATAGAGCAATCACACAACGTTCAGGGCCAGTGTCAGGGCACCATTTGATCAGATCAGCATTTATTGGTAGGAAGTGATAACATTTACAACCGTTTCCAGGCAGGAATGGAGAGGGCCACCACCCGAGGCAGCCTTCCCGGGAGAGAGCAGACGCCCCTACACACTGCGAATAAACCCCTCCACCCACCCAAGTCCCTGGGATGCTTTAGGCCTCACTCAAGGTCTGGGACGAGGGCCTGCCGGCTCCCTGAGGAAAGGGGGATTTCCAACCGGTAGGTGACCCAGACCCAGGCCTGGGCAAGCAGCAGGAGTGTACACAGTTTCTCGCTCAGCCTTCAGATTCTCCGAATTGGGGCACACAAGGCCCTGTTTGGAAAGCGCTGGGGGAGGGAACTAGACTACAGCACTTTCCAGAAACATGAGGGGTATTTACACGGGGGAGGGGTTCCTCAAGCCAGCGTGCAGTCACAAAATATTGCATTTTCTAAGGAACCAAGGAGCAGGAAAGGGAGGGAGCGGGATAGAGCGAAACTCCAAAGCTACTTGGTTTCTCCAACACATAAGAGAGCAAACACAGTTCCCCCAATTAACTCACAGAGACCAACCACACAGTCACTTCTATCTAAAAAAAGGGGAGGGTAGGGAGTCTTGAGTCGCTGGAGTTTCTGGAAATTAAGAACCCACAAAACAACAACAACAACAAAAAACCCCTTGCTGCCCCAGGGCGCTCGAGCCGGTGCCGCCGGGTCAGTCTCCTTTGGAGCATTTCTCCTTGCTCATCTTTTTCATTTTCATCCTACGGTTCTGGAACCAGATTTTGACCTGTCTCTCTGTGAGGTTCAGAATCCTGGCCACCTCGTAGCGCCGGTCCCGGGTGAGGTACATGTTGAAGAGGAATTCCTTCTCCAGCTCTAGCGTCTGGTATTTGGTGTAGGGACAGCGCTTTTTCCGGGTGGACCGAGCATGGATCCAGTTCGCGGCGGGGTTGTCTACGGAGAGGGGGGTTTGCAGAAGGGGAGCGAGGGGCGGAGGGGAGGCAGAAAGAGGAGAGAGAGAGAGAGAGAGAGAGAGAGAGAGAGACGACAGGGTGGGGAAGAGAGGTCGTTAAATTAATTTCACCAAGGATGGCCGCGTTTCACAACTTGGGGGGAATTATCATAAAAAGCCTTAATGCCCGCGCTCTGTTTACCGTACAAACCGCGCGCCCAGGGTAGGTGGTTATGGGAAGCTTTTTTATGGATGCATGTTGCTCGCCTAGGCTTGGGTAGGCGTCTAGACGTTTTTATAGGTTAGTAAAACTATCAGTTTTGCACATTCGAGCCTTACAGGTTTCAGCAATAAATCAGGGGGCAATTTCTTTTGCACTTACTTGGGTCAAGTTGCTGCGGCGGCGGCTGCGGATGCTGCTGCTGCTGCTTCTCCTCCTCCTTCAGCGGGCAGCCGGGGCTTGGGTGATCGTTGCAAGCCGAGGGCTCGGCTGAGCCTCCCACCCCAGGCCCAGCCCCGAGCCCTGCCCCAAGCCCCGGTCCCGCCGCCGCCGCCGCCGCCTTGTCCCGCAGGAACGAGTTGCACGGGAACTCGGCGCCGCCGCTCCCCGGGGACTCGCGGGCCGCGGAGCACTCAGTCCGTTTGGAGGTGGAGGAGGACGAGGAGGAGGAGGAGGAGGTGGTGGTGGAGGCTGCGGCGGCAGGAGCCGGGGCCGCTCCGGTTTCAGGCTTAATCCCGTAGTGGCGCCCGTTGGCTGGGCCGCCTGGGCTGGGACCGGGGCCCGGGCCGCCGCCACCACCACCGCCACTGCCGCCACCGCCGCCGCCGCCCGCGCCACCGGGGAAGCCGGGCAGCGGCTCCATCCAGGAGCGCACGTAGCGGCTGGGCTCGGAGGCGGCGGCGGCCAGGGGCGGCGGGGGCACGTACGGGTGGTAGAGGCCGCTCATCGCCGCCGCTGCCGGGGGCTGGGCGGGCACCGCGGACCACGAGGCGGAGAACACGGCCGATTTAGGGGCAAAACTACACGAGGCGAACTCGGCGGCGGCGGCGGCCGGGCTGTCGGCCACACCTGCAGGCCGACCCTGGGCGCCGGGCCCCGGCGGCCCGAAGCGCGCCGCGAACACCTCGTCGCCCTCATGGCCTATGAGCGAGTCCACGTAGTAGTTGCTGAGGGTGCCACTGGAGGACATTTTGAGGCGCCGCGCGCTCCCACCCAAGGTTACACTGCCCGCCGCCGAGCCGCTCCCCGCCGGCGCCCGAGCCGCCGACTAGTTCGCAGGCTGCAGCCTCCACCATTGGTCGCGCGGCCCACGTGATCATATTTACCAATACCCGGAGTAAATCAGTCCGCTAAACTGGGGGCTGCTGCGATTTAAAAAAAAAAATCATCATCATCAACGCAAACGCTGCAATTAGAGCCCGCAGGCCTGGGTCCGGGTTTGCCCGCTCGGCCTGGCCCGGTCCGCCGGGCGGTGGCGGGAACCACAGGCCCCAGGGCGGCCGGAGGAGGCGCTGGGGACTATTTGTTCGTCTCCTCTGGCCGCTCGGGGTCCTGCAGTCTCGACCCGGGCTCGGAGCCGTGGACCGCGTGTCTCACTCACACTCACCCAGCGCTTGGCCTGAGCCCGCAGCGGCCCCCGGCGCGCGGGGCCCGGTGCGGCCCGAAGCAGGCGGGCCTTCCAGGGCGGCCCCCTGGCGCCCGAGGGAATCTGTTCGCCCCTTGCCACTCTTTCTCGCCCTAAACCCACCCCGCCCCGCACATACCCACACACGCTCTCACAGCTTGTCGTGTTGTTTAAAACAGGTGGAAGACCTCTGTAATGATATTATGCCTTTCAATAAAAATTTTATGAGGTGTATTTGATTATAGATTAATGTGTCCCTAATAAAACGGACGGATGGAGCAGCTCGGAGGGCCCCCTCCCCTTGCCACACTCACACACGCCCCGCGCAGCCACACACATCCTCGACGTGAGGCTAGGCGCACGCCGAGGCCTGAGGGGTGAACCGGGGCGGCCCAGCTCACGGGCCGGCCCAGCCGGGAGCACCAGCGGCAGCAGGGGCCTCTGTGTGCCCTCAGAAGGGCGGGCGAGTGGTGAAGTCCTCTGGGCTCAGACAGTGACGGCCAAGGTTCCTTGTCTTCTCTTGGGCGGCTGGAAGGCCCTGGAAGAGAACAGGCCACAGAGGGGAAAGACACACACGCTCCCACGGGCCCTCTGCCACCCGCGGCGCTGGCCCTGCCTCCGTGAGGCCTGCGGGAACCGCCGTTCCCACGGCACAGTGACTTGGGGCCCATTCGCACGGAGAGGCCTCCAAGTGGATCCGAAGGTGTCTGGAAAAAAAAAAAGAGTCTGGCCTGATAACCAGGTCTTTGGGCCAGTCCCTTCCCCAAATTTCCCCCCTTGATTGCAGAGGTAAAGCTGGGCAGCCTTGAATCTGAGAGAAATGCCCATTGTCACTCCCAAATCCATGGTACAAAGCCTCGGAAGCTCTGCTGGGAACCCAGACAAAAGCTGGGAGCTGGCGTGTTCCTCGCTCTCCAAGTTGCCCAGGGCACCCTTGGAGGGCTCCCAGCTCATCTCCATCCCCAGAAAGAAAAGGGGTAATGGCTACTTATTGCCTGATTGATTGCTTTTTGCCAATGGCTTTCTGATTTTGTTCCAGAGGGACTGCCCTTTCCTGTAGCATAGGTTTACCTCAGAGACATGCCCCCCTAATAACAGTTAATGTTGCTCCCCACATCGTGCTTGTGTGTGTGTGTGTATGTGTGTGTGTGTGTGTGTGTGTGTGTGTGAAGACTGCCAAGGAAAAACTGCCCTCAACCAAAATAAATCTGGGACAAATCTTTTCCAGTGTTCTTAATCTAAGGTGGATTCAGATCTAGCTCCCTCATTCCCAGGAAATGATACCCCTAAAGGGTTCTGTCTTGAAACTTGGGAAGGTGCCTGGTTTAGGGGAAAGTTTAAAATTGAATAAATGGCGAGTTACCTAAAGACTCCCTGGATTAGGAATCTGAGCTGAGGCTCAAGAAGCCTAAATGGATTACTCTTAGGGAGAAAGAGGCTGGGGTGAAGAGGACCTGCTTTGTGAAACTCCTGGAGACCCTTTGAAGACAGGGAAAATCTGAAGCAACGAATTCTCTGTCAGCTTTTCCCTTCAAATCCTCTTCTCCTTTTCCCTGTCAGGACTAGATAAATCTGGACTCGGTGAAGATTCTACAAAAGCTGGTGAGAATTTCACAAGCCATGGCTGTAAATGGAACCTTGGATGAAGGGAAGTTGTGTTCACTTGAAAATACATTATCAGTCACCTTTTCTGCATTTTTTTTGCTTGCCCCTCCAACCAGCATTCTATAATTAAATAGCTAGAGATTTGACGGGGGAGTCTGTTTTCATATTTCCTTTAAACTTTTGCACATGGGCTACTAAAAGGCAATAACTGAGCATAAAATTGTTTCACAAGGAAACCAAGGCAAAGTGGGATGGGAAAACTCACCCAACCTTGGCTTCGCTGGGGCCTGGCTGTCTTGCACTCAGGATGGGGTAGGGATGAGCAAAGGGGGAGCAAAATTGGATCCGATGCCATGCTAGACTGATGTTCTTGTTCCTGTAATGGAGGCCGGGCAGATTCCAGGTGGGCAAGACTAGTCTTGACCTAGCCCCTGATGATGGTTCCCCATCCAGAAATCACCAAAATCTCACTGAAAGTATTAAAACACACACACACACACACACACACAACCAAAACTAAAGAGCAGAATCACACAAATGGGAATTGAGAAGAAGAAGCCGCTTGGGGGCTCAGGCTTACTTACCAGGCTCAGGCTACAGGGAAACTTAGACCCATTGAGATAACGACTATATTATTATGATCGGAGACAGGGTTCTTCTCTTCTTTTCTCCAGTTATGAAAACTGGACTCTTCTTCCCCCACCCTTTCCATCCCTGCCAAATTCCAGCATCTTAGGCTTCTCCAGCTTTTCTCTCCCATCTCTCCCTTCTCTCCCTTATTGCTCCCCCACCCAACTGCCCCCAAACACTTTCATTTCCACCATAAAATATTTCCATTTCAGAAAGCAGATGGAGCAAACTCATTTCCAGAGTTTATTGCATTATACATGCGACCAGAACATGCACAGAAAGGACAGGTTGCTGTTGTACTTCTACCAAACCACAGATGCACCACAAGGGAAAGGCTACAAGGCATAAGTTGTCAATATTCCATTTCACCAAGGACATTGCTAAGTTCATTTTGTGAAAAGATACATTGTAATGTGCTTTTTTAGTCCCCCTCCCCCAAAGCTTGTGGGTTTTCTTATTTTTTTTAAATATATATGTAATTTTTTGAAGTACTGGTTGTACTCAAAATGCCATGAGTCCATGGGCTAACCACATACAGAGAACTTTTGTGTTAGGAAAAACATGAAAAAGTCACATTGCTGGATGGTTGAATGGATGGATGGTTAGATGGATGCTCCACAGTTCCAATAAGTTAAGACCCAAATGAAAATGCGCAGTATTAGTTACCCTGCATTATGATGAAAAAATAATAATAAATTACACGTGCTAAGTTTTTTAATATATATATATATATACTCATAGGGATTACAGATCACTTGCAGCACGAACAGAATGACCCCAAAGTCACATTCTAGCAGGAAAACAAAACAAAACAAAACGAAAAACAAAGAGCAATGAAGGTTTTGTTTCCGCCTTCCCAGTCCTCCAGCACTGGGCCCTGGAATGCGGTGCCCCTCTCTGATCCCGGCCTCTCACCGGCCTCCGACCTAAGAAAAGGTGAGGTTGGCGGTCAGTTCTCGGATCCGGTTCTCTCGGCTCATCTTCTTGAGTTTCATTCGGCGGTTTTGAAACCATATCTTGACCTGCCTGTCGGTGAGGTTAACGCTCTTACTGATCTCTAGGCGGCGCTCGCGGGTGAGGTACATATTGAACAAGAACTCTTTTTCTAATTCCAGCGTTTGGTGCTTAGTATAAGGGCACCTCTTCTTTCTGCCACTCTTTGCAGTGAGCCAATTGCTGGTTGGAGTATCAGACTTGATTTCCTCTAACAAAATTAAAGGGAGAAGAAAAAAATCAAGAATTTTTTTTTCTCTCAGTCCGTTCAAATATACCCTTGGCCATGACCCTGTTGACAGGAACGCCACTTTGGTCAATGCTTGATATTAAACATTACTTAGAGAGATGGGCCCTGAATGTACCTTAAAATGATGCCAAATTAAAACTAAATGCCCAAAGTAACACCATCAGAAGGTATCTGCATCAAAGATCTCTCTCTCCCTTTCTCTCTCTCTCTCACATGCTCACATGCACACACACACACACACACACACACACACACACACACAACTTTCTGACTCACACAAACATTAGTATAATAAACTTGCCAGGATCTCTAGCAATATTCTAGATGATCACCTCTTGACAGGGCAGAAGTGGAGGAAGCCATGGCCTGGGCAAGCCTGCCAACGTCCCTGCAGCCTCTGGTCTCCCAGTCTGTCTCCTCACCTCTCTGAGGCAGGCAGGGAACCCCTAGCCAGGTTTAGCTTATAGGTGCCTATCCTCTTTTAAAAGACAAAAGTCTAAAGAAAGGATACCTTCTTCACCCTGTCTGGACGTTGTTGCATTCCTCAGAATTCCCCAAATTCTCATGCATTTTTGCTCCTATACAAAAGCACTCCTCCAGAAATGTAACCCCTAGTATGGCCCACCTCTGGGTGCTGGAGGAGAGGTTTAGGGGCCAGATTCCATCTCAAAAGCCCAAACCCCTGTCTCTTTGCCTTAGTCAAGCCTTAAGGCTGGCCCTGCAAAGTGGGCAATGCAGATCCATTCTCCCCGCTCTGCCTTTGCCCTCTTTGTAGATGGACTGCAAAGCCTGCAGCCCTTTCCCCAGACAAAGCCAAGGTTACCTAGCCAGCCCCACAAAGGCAGGAAGCGCTGTTCTCCTACCCAAGCCCCAGCGGCCCAACCATCTCCTTCCCCTCGAAGCCCCCAAACTCGCTGGATGCGGGGTGTATACTCTTGAACACAAACACCGTGCCTTGGACCACCTTAAAATGATCATTGGGTGCAAAGAAAATCAGGAATTGCAAATCTGAGCAGGGGAAAGGAGGCTCTGGGACCCTGTCTGTGAGCCGCAGGTCTCCCCAGAGCTCTTTTGTTGCATTTCAGGTCTGGCTCAGGAAAAATAAAGCCGGCAAGGCTTTGCTCTGCCCCGGCGCCATCACCATGGGGCCAGGACTGGCCGGGAAGGCCATAGCAGCGCGAGAGAAGCGGGGACCATCTAGAGGCAGAGATCTCCCCTCTAAAAGCCGGGCGGAGCAGCACCTGCCAAGTCAGTGCTGAGCTCCGCTGCCTGGGCTCCGTGCTGGGCACCCGAGCGCTCCCTCTCCGCCGGGTTTCCGGACTGCGCGCCCCGCTGGGGTGGCAACTCTGCTCATACCGACCTTTGCTTTCCTTCTCCTGCACTTCAGGACTGGACACGGAGACTTCAGCCAGGCAGCTCCTTTCTTCGGGAAGGCCGCCTTTGGCCTCTGGGCTCTCCACCTGGGACACTTTGGTGGGCTCCTGGCCGCTCGCGGTCTCGTTCATCTTCTTTTCCATCTGCAGCTGGGCAGCCGAGAGCTGCGGCTTGGCCGCGCCACGAGGGTTGAGCTGGAGCATGACAGTGGAGCTGCCTTCGGGGCTGTTATTGTACTCTTGGGTTTTCCCGGTGGCGTAGGTCTGACTCAGTCTAAAATATCCAGGGACAGGAACCTCGGGGTTCTCAACAGGACAGGACTCGGGGACCAGCCTCTGGTACGAAGGGACCTCGGCAGAAATGAGTTTGTTGCGCTTATCAGAATACATGCAGCAATTGGATTCTTCTTTAATGTTGGTAGTGAAGGAGCAAGTGGGGACTTGCTGTGTAACAGGTTGCTCTATTCGACAAGATCTGTTCGGGTCTGTCCAACTGTCTACTTGAGGTATATAAGGATGCACATTCATACCCATATTTTGGTGGTTCACTTCTCTTTTGGCCAGAGACGGGAGCAGTCCACAGGTTTGCATTCCATAGGTCCCCATGTCTGCGCTAGGTGGTGGCATGTACATGCTGGCGCTGCTCGAATAAAAACTGTCACTCCTGCAGGCACTGATCAAGGAATCTACTAAAAAAGTATTAGCAGCAGGAGAGCTGTTGGGAAAGGACATTTTGGGGAGGAATTTGAAGAAGAGAGATTGTGTCCTTTGTAGGCTGACATCTCTAGGAAAACATTCCCCGTGTAATTGTGGATGCCTCTGCCGACCACATGACAACCAAGCCAATGAGATTTGAAAATGGCCTTGAGCCGCAGCCTCCTCGCAGGTCACGTGCTCCCCAGCCCGGCCGGCCGGCCGCGTAAGCACGGACAACAGCGACATCTACTATGCGCCCGCGATAGTGCGCGCTGGAGACAACCGGCCCAGAGCTCGCAGCCACCCGCCGGCCCGCCTCCCCGGGGCTCCCTTGGCCTGCCCGCCCCACTCGCGTCTCCCGTCCCGGCCACCGGCCCCCGCCGGTGGAGGGAAAGGCTTGGTCGGGAGGCCACGCGCGGGAAGGAAAGCCACAGCACAGTGGCGCTAGCACACAGAAAGCATTTTCCTACAAACACTCTCAGGCTGAACGCGCCCAAGAGGGCCAGGTCCCGGGCCAGGGGTGGAGGCGCGGGGCGGTTCACACAGTACCGGGCAGCCAGCAAGGTGAGGCGGATTTCACCAAATCCGGAGGCATCCTACCCAGGGGTCCAACGGAAAGAGCTCTCAGGCAATGACTGGGCCAGCATGTCCCGGGAAGCGCAGGCGAAGACGGCCGACAGGGCCGAGAGGCCACGCAGCCGGCCAGACCCAGAGCACAGAGGACGGGTCCAGCCCCGCAGTTTTCCTTTTTCTAGGCCCTCACGCCAGGATTCGGGGGGCCCCTCCGCGCGCCTTGAGCAACGGGAGTCTTAGACTCTCAAAGGAACCACACCCTGACCTTTGAGGGGCCAGGAGCTGGGAGCTTTCCGCCCGGAGACAATCCTTCGCCAGCAGTTCTCCGTCCGCAAAGCGTCCCTGGGACTCCCAGCGGGAGAACTAAGCCGAGATTTCCTTCCCCAAGCACCCTGAGAACACAGCGCAGAGAGGAGAAGGGGGAAAGAGAAAAATAAGGAAAAGGGGGCAACTCTGACCCAACGACCCCAGAAGTTTTAGAAAATTGGGCCAGGCAGGAGAGAAGAAATACAAAGGTGTCATTTGCTTCTTCTGCGAAGAAAAATATGTTTTCCTTTTATGGATTTTGTAAAAGCATTGGTTTCTGACAAGTGCAAGGTACAAAAGGTTGTGGAATTTATTAATACATATTAAGAAGAATCAGGGCGATCAATAAAATTCTCATCTACATTCTTGGGCTACTTGGTAATTTTCTTGCTTCTGAAGGTTTTTAAAGAGTTATACCCGCTGTTGCCACACACGGGAAGATATTTTATTAACAAATCAATCGAGACTTTGTAAAGGATAAGATTAATAGTTAAGATTTAGCATAATGGCGTTGGCTTTATGAATTATTGAAAATTATACTATTGATTTTTCCCCTTCACTACCAACCAAGAAGGTCAATTTTTGTTTTAACACAAATCGTCAAATGTTAAAAGCTATCCTTTTGTCAGAAGTTGAGTTTTATAGTTTGGGATAATCCCTAAAATTATTTGACAAGGCTTTTGCTTGCTGAAGAGGAAGGCGGTAGGAGAGTCTTAGTTCTGTTTCCTCTGGTGAGGGAAAGTACTATAAAGAGGATATGGTCTGAGGTTGTGGTCCAGCTCATTAAAGAACAACCACCACTGCTACCACCGTGGAAACTCAGAGTTTTATGAGAAACTTCAACAACTTCCTCCCTCCTTCTCTGGTTGCAGGCGGGAGAGCCGCCCTGCGGAAGCCGAGGCCTCAGGACAGCAGCGGGGAGCTTTAACCTTGATTGCCAAAGACTTGCCCTGGGCGAGGGGCCCTGCCAAGCGCGAGGGAGCCATCTCTCCGCCTTTCCCGGCAGCCAAGAAAGTGAAACGGCCCCGAAACCTCTGACCGTGAACCAGTTCTCTATCCAGGACGACATCTGTGTTCTCTTCTCCACTCTTACCCAGGACTAGGCTGGCCTTGGATTTCAGGCCCAGAGACTGAACTTGTGGGTAAATGTAGTTTCCGCCTCAGCAGAACATTTCTTTGGGGTCTGATGCTCATTGGGGAGCCTTCACATTCTGGGGGACTTAAGATTCTGGCTGCTTCTGCACAAAAACCTTTTCCCCCAAAGTCCTTTGTCACCCTCCCCCCCCCCTTTCCCCCAAAGAAATTTCCCCTGTCCCAGTGAAAACAGGCGTTGAACATTATTTTCGGCCTTGGGACCAATTCGCTTGTCCCCTCTTACTGCCCTCGCCCAAACAATAACCCCTTTAAAACAACAACAACAACAACTCTGCGGTGGCAATGAGACAGACCTTTTAAACCTTTACGCAGCTGTTCAAATACAACATCATTGTCAGGTTAAAAGCCTGGCGCCTCTAACTGCTCTGGCTGCTGCAGCCCGGTGTAGCCAGAGGTTTAAACATTACCTTTCCACAGGGGTGGCTCTTTTTAAGCTTGGGGGTGGAGATTGAGAAAGGCAGGGGAGGGGGGAAGCCCTTTGAATATAGGTTACTAAGAGCCTATTTAAATCGAATAGCTACTGATCGGCACCCCAAAATTTCCCTTTTCACATTGTGAAGATACTGTTCTGAGCCACAGCTAAGCGTGCCCAGGGCTGTACAAAGTGCCCGATGCACTAGCTCTCGGCAGGCACCCAGACGCCAGCTTGGCGCTCCAGCATTCATTGTGTTGCCTTGTTCTCGGCCAAGAGAGATTGCCCAATTTTCCCTATCCCAAGTGAGGCAAGACTGTTCAATCTAATCAGGAATTTTATGCCCATCAAATGCCCTTTCATAATCTTTATTTATACATGAAGAAAACATCCAGTCTAGTGTATGCAGACTGAGTAGGTCTTCAGTGAGCTAGAACAAGCAGAATTTGCCTTCTGAATTTGGGGGCCTTTCTGTGTCAGATCTATGTAGCTTCCAGTTCAACATCACCTCATTTTGGATAAGGCTATGAACAGGTTTTCCCTCACAGAAAGGATGTGTATCAGATATAATTTTATGCTGTTGTCACAAAATTCTATTTTTTCTCTTTTAGATATCTGCCTTCAGACCAGTTGGTGGGGGCCAGTGTCTGCCAATATTTCAGAGATTTCTAGCATTATAAGTTGAGCCAAATAGAAATAATTCAAGAGAATTATCTGTGTCGGGAAGGACAGAAAGTTTGCATTAAGATCTTAAAGCTGGGATGAAGCAAATGGAATTAAAAGGTGGTGGCTTTATGAAAAGCTAATCTTTATTTTGCTTAGATTGTGTAATAAAGTTGTTTGTGATCATCTTTAAATCAGTTAGGGCAGTTACCACTAAGCGTAGATCAATAATACACCACAAACGACATGAATATTCGTGTTTTTTTTTTTTTTTACTAAGATGCCCTTCTCTCTGGCACAGTTATTTCCAGAGGAAATGTAAGAGTTGCCTTAGCAAGAAATTAGCATTTGTAATCCAAATGTGGCTTACATCTCCCACTCTCTCTCAGGAAAGAAGAGCTGGAGTCCTGGGCCTCAAAGAACCTGGGGGCTCCTGGAGTCGCCCAGAATCAGAGCCTTGACTTGCCTTTGGGCTAGGTTGCTCTTTGGGGACAGACAGGAAGGTGACAAATTCAAAGACGTCTCCCCAGGTTACCCCTCTGGATTGCAAGGAGCACTACCGGACCAAAGAGAAAATAAATGGAGGAAGCAAACTGGGAGACAACCACCAAAGCCATAAGGGATTTACGAAGACATGCAAGCCGGACCGCAGACCAAGAGCCTGTTTCTGTACACACACAAAAGACTCCTACTTCGCTCATTTTCCCTCCACTTGGGAATCCGAGACCTCGGCGCCTCAGTATCCGTGACCACCCTCAGCGAGTCCTACGCGCCCTGAAAGGTCGGAGAGGGGGAAGTCTTCAGCCCCCAAAGATTCTGGTCCAATCCCCTGGTCCTAGCCAGGTCCCTGTTGGCCACCGCCGGGTGGAAAGGCATTGCCGAGCGCTGAGCTGCCGTGGTCCGAGGGCGGCTGCCAGCCAAGGCCAAGGGGCCCGGCCAGATGCGCCGCCGATGGAACCGCCTACAGAGGAACTCAACGACATTTGGGGAGGGTGTTCTCGCCCCCTGTAGACTGAAGTCTCAATGGGGCTCACGGAAAGGTCGCTTCACAATAGCTAAGCTCGACCCGCGCCTGGACAGGCGGAGCCGGGTGTACCCTCGGGGAACACCCACGCCCCTTGCTGGCGCCTAGCCGGGGAGTCGCGGCGCCCCGGCCTCCCCGCAAGCCTATGCCAGCCCCCCCCCCCCAAAGCCGGCCGAGCAAGCGGACAGACGGACCCAGCGCCTTAGATCTAGGGCCTGGAAGGCAGAAGGGGAATCAGCAGAGCCAAAGTGGCCAGCGTTAATTCCGGGGGCTGCGAGGACTTCACAGTGAACTTCGTGTGTGTGTGTGTGGGGGGGCAAAGTCCTTGTTTGGAGTGGCCCTGGTCCTTTTCTCTTCGGACTGCGGACGGGGACTCAGGCACACTCTCCAATGTCAGGGGCTTTGGTAGGGCGGAGAAGGTACACGGCGGAAAACACTATTCATGAGAGCCAGAGCCCAAACTCAAACTCCGCACCTCAAGGCCCCAGGACAGCTTCTGTCAAATGCAAAGCCCGCTTCCTTCAAACACAAACAAGTTCCCTGCACCACAAAGCCCTGAAATATAAACTTCTAAACTTCCCCAAGAACCCTTCGCCTCCTGCAGTTGCCTCCGGCTCAGCCAAACACCAGCACCCCAACTTGTAGTTCGGTGCGTGTCTCATATTCGCCAGAGGTAGCCCTGCACCACGCATGGCTCCAAAATCCTTAGTTCAGAACGACCCCCACCCCACCTTACCCCACCCCACCCCGGCCTGGAGGCAAGTCGTTTTTTCTAAGTATACACTCAGCTAAGTGATGAAGCCCTACTCTGTGTTAAACAAAAGGCATTTAATCATGTCCGCGGGCTGGGAGCTCACGAGGCGCATGTGGCTTTTGAGAGTTCCTATCCTTGACATCACTCTCCACACTCAAACCAACAACAGCATTGATTTTTCCTAATTTAATTAACTCTCAGTAGGTGTGACATATTTCATCCAAGCATGTACTTTTGTCTTTTAAAAAATCTCTCATGGACAGTATCATTTTAAACCAAGGTAATACTATGCTTACAGCTTTGTCTTTAAGAAGGCAACATAAGGCAAGAAATACGGGTTGAGCACTCTCCTCTGTTGGGAATCTGATTGTCCTCTTTTTCTCCCTCTGTACACAACTTCTCACACTTCAGGACTGCTGACAACAAACAAATAGCAAACACCTTAGCTGCTGCCTGTTTCTAACGGGCGGAGAGTGCCTATTACAATCTAGTACTGGAAAATAAGGTACCGCAGCTTCTTGGCAAAAGCTGTTTCTGAACGTGAGTGCGCCCTCGTGTGGCTGTACAGCCCCCCTGCACACGAAATGGTTGGCTATGGTGGCTGGCACACATGCTTACACAGTAGTTTTAAAAAAAAAAAAAAAAAAAAAAGATGAAGGAAGAATCAGTTTGAAGCTTCTGGAAAGATAATGCCATTAAGGCATTGATACTAAAAACTGATGTCCAGAATTCCAAGCAAAAGAATACCCTTCTGAAGGAAATAATTTGATTGTCTGCTTTGTTTCTGTTGCATTTTTTTTCACCAAAGGTCGAGGGAAGTTTTTAAAAATATAAATATATTTAATTTTGTTTCATATCTTACAGAGTGCCATAATTTATCTGGCTGTGTGGCAAATTGTTTTTAAATATCATTAAGGTGTAAGTCTGGACAAAACTTACTTGTTCAAACACCTTATTTTTAAAACTGTATTTTTAAAGTTACAGCAAAGGGGACCACTTCCTAAGATCTCCCCCAAATCTACAGCACATCCTACTTGTAGAAAAAGCTAAGAGGCATTTTAATTTAACCATTATTCTTTTAAAAAGTAATTGCTATTGAATTACTCAAATGTTTGTAGGGAAATTAAGGTTATTGATCCTGAAATTAGGAATTTTCTTAGATTTATGGTGAGCCCCCAATATGATTCTGTGTGGTCATAAATGTTCGCATGGGTCTGGGTGTGTGAGCATGTATTATGAGAGTGGGTGGCTGTTGAAAATCACAGAAGAACCTTAAGGCGCCTAATTATTCAGAGAGGTTAAAGGTGATGACCTTGACATTTTGGAAGTTCAAAGGCATACACTTATGCACTTATGTTTTTCCTTCCTTTAAAAAGTCTTAGTAATTAAAAATGTTTGTATTTCCAAATGCATACTTCCTCAAAGATGCTTGAGGTGCTGTGCATCTAATAGATTTATATTTTGACTTTGGACTTACGAAAAGCTAAGAGTCGTGAGACTCACTTCATCCTTTCCAAAGAAAGACAAGCTTTTCTCACTTCTTCAGTTTATTGCACATTGCGGAAATCTCTTTTGGGCCACCAGAAGGTGTATAATATAACCCAATTAAGCTGTTTAGAACTTTGGCTTTTATGGTGTTGTCTAGACAGTTCAAGGTTTTGTAAACAGCCTGGCCTGGCCCTGCAACATAAAGTGCAGTGCAGCCCTCACCACATTCTGTAACTTAAAGGGATAAATGTGGTGAGAAGTAGGTCTGTAGCCCCTGGCCTTAGTCCAGTGTGGAGTGTGTGTGTGGGGGGGGAGGGCTTACATTCTCTGCTCCAGACCCACTATGACACCAGCAAGGACTTCAAGTCCCATTCCATCCACTAGCTTCATTTTAGCTATCTGCCCTGGAAGGCTATACTTTTGGTTTGTTCTTTTAAGGAAACTTGGTTTCTCATTGCTTCTTTGAAAGAATTTGCATTGTCTAACTAGATTTCAATAATTATTTTGTCTTTCCAGAAATTTCAAGTTCAGTAGATTAGGGTAGTGGTGGGGATTTGCTTCTCAAGTTCCTGCTGTTCCAGTCTTATTGCCTGGAGAAGCCAGCACCACCCTGGCTGGGTCAGACAATCAATGCAGAAATATATCACTTACATGTGTTTTTTTTAAAAAAAATAATGTAATCTAAGGGGAGGTGCAAGAACCAGCTCCTATTATAGTAAAATTTAAAAGCATTCCACTGGTTTATCAGTGAATTCTGGCCACTAAGATATCCTAATTCAACACTAAACTTCTTCAGGGGATAATTCATGCAGTGTATTGAAGCTATAATCTCATTTTTACTAGAAACCATTTATTCACACACAAAAAGACAGTGACTCATGCCTTGATATGACAGACCAAAGGTACATTTCTCAGAGCTTAAATAATCTGCGTTCAGAGGATGGGGGGAAAGTGATCGCTTAAACTCAGAACACAACACCAGCGCCTTCTAGTCCCCGTGGCCTACCTCCCTACAGATCGCATCGCATCCCCAGGAGGACGGGGAAGGAGGAACAACAGCACATTGGCGGTAAAATTGTAAAGGGACGTTTGCATTTACCATTTTCCCCTTATTAGGATCCGCTCGGCCAAGTCCCCGGCCTCGTCCTCAGGCTGCGGTGGTGGTCGCTGGGAGGTCCAGAGATGACCGTGGGAAGGAATCGAGAAGTTCCACAGAGAAGAGGCGTCATTAAACCCAAGAACAGTGGGCCTGCGGAGGGCAGGCTGGTGGAAAGGAGGGTGGGTGAATGGGGCTCGGGGAGGGGGCGCTTCCTGAAGCTCTCAAAATAAGGGGTTTCCAGTGAAATACTGAAGACGGTCTCTGTTCAGTTTCTTTTCTTTCATCCTGCGATTCTGGAACCAGATTTTGACTTGCCGGTCAGTGAGGTTGAGCATCCGAGAGAGTTGAAGTCTTTTCTCTTTGTTTATGTATACGTTAAAGAAAAACTCACGTTCCAGTTCGCGGATCTGGTACTTGGTGTAGGGGCAGCGTTTTTTCCGAGACCTCTGGGGGGCCACTGCAAAGCAAAGAGACCAAGGGATGAGAGAGGCTCGCCTGCCAGCTCCCACCCTCCTGCTCGGGCCACTGAGCGAGGGCCAGGCCTGGGCCCCGTGAGGGACGTCCCCTACCTCAGCTGAAAGGCCCTGCCTGCGTCGTGGGGGGATGATATATGGGCGGGCACAAGAGAGTGCGGGCGTGGACGTGTGTTCACGCCCGGACACACACACACATACACACACTCACACACTCACAACCATCCTGGCACCTAAATAGGGAAGAGGAGGGCGACTCAGGCTCTGAACTGGAACACGAGGAGACAGAGACACGAGTGCACCCGCCAGGGCATCTGCTCCACTCCAGCGGTGCGCGCCAGCCGGCGGCTTGGATAAACTCCAGTGCGGGGATCAGCCACCCCCGCCCTTCAAAGCTGGAGGCTCCCCGGTCCGCACTCACCGACTGTCTGGGAAATCTCTCTCCCTCCCACCCTCTCTCGCCACAGTCTTCAACACTCCCTCCCCCCCCCCAATAGGGAGAAAGCTCTCCGCAGCAATTAATGTCCCCCTCGAAGTCTACCTTAAGCCCACCTAAATTGGTTTCCTATCATAAACACGCTTTACAACGACCCTGGAAATCTTATAGGATGTATAAACCCCTTCGAATGCTTATAAAGTGGCACATAAAACGGCGCAAGCCGAGGGAGGCCCCCCGCCACCCCCCCACCCGCGGCCCCCCGGCCCCGCCGCTCCCCCTGCGCCCACTGCCTACCTGTGCCGCCGCTCTTCTCGGTCCCCGCCTCCCCGGGGGGAGCCTCGCCATCGCCGCCGCCACCTTCCGCTGCCCCCTTGGGCTCCGAACCCGGAGTCGCCTTGGCGCAGGGACTTCCCCCGCCACCAGCAGCCCCGGACTTGGGGTCGCCCTTGTCAGCAGCGCCCTCGGGCTGCGGTGGCGCGGGCGGCGGCGGGGGCTGCGGCCCGGCGAACGGGGGCCCGGGCGCCGCCTCGTAGAACTGATCGAAGCCCTGAGGCAGGATGCCATTGCGGCCCACGGCGCTGTAGAAGTTGGAGGCGGCGCCCGCGGGGCCGTGCGGCGGCCCCGGCGCGGCGCACACCGGCTCCGGCGCCTTGAAGAGTACGTCTGGCCGGCGGCCGGCGGGCGGGAGCAGCTCTCGCTGCATGGCCGCTTCTTCGGCCGCCGCCGCCGCCGCCGCGGCCGCCGCCGCCGCCGCGTAGTAGGGAGCGTAGCCCCCGGCGCCGCCGCCGCCCCCACCAGGGCCGCCCCCGCCGCCGCCGCCCCCCGCGCCGCCGCCGCCGCCGCCGCCGCGGTACGGCCACTTGGCGCGCTCCAGGCCGTAGTCGCGAAAGGCCACTTCTCGCACTGGCTGGACGTGCGGCGCCAGGTTGGAGGAGTAGGGAAAAGTCATCTGGCAGGAGGACGGTTGCGAGAGGAATGACGGCTTGCTAGCGAAGTCCGACGGGGCCACATAGTAGGCGCAGCCGGGCAGGTACATGCTGGCTGCGCTCGGGCCGCACTCGTCAAAGTCGTTCATGGCTCCGCGGCGTGCACGCCGGCAAGCCCCGGGCCGCTCCCCGCGCCGCCAACCTGAGCCATCGATTGCACAAGAGGCTTGGGCCAGGATCAACTAAGCAAAAATCCCCACCGGGCGCTGACGTGCAATTCATCTTGATTGATTCTGGTGGTAATTATGTCACGTGACGCCATGGAGAGAAATGTCCTTATATCTATATCAGCGCTCGCCAACACACCCCGGGACGGCTCCTGGCGCCGAGACGCGCGCACGCTGGGGGCGGATCGGCCTCTCCTTTCCCGCCAGCTCTCCCTGGGCGCCCCCTGGCCAGGCTGCGCCTCCGGCCGGTCACCTGCGCGCCGCCGGCGGCTGCCACCGCTGGGCGCATCTGCCACCGCCCGACTGGGCCGCCCGCCCGCGTTCGCCCGCCCGCGCTGCTTTAAGTACGCGGACCTAGGCCGGCGGGGAGGAGGAGGGAGGGGGAGGAAGGGGGAGGAAGGGGGAAGGGAAGCGGCGAGCGGAGAGGGGGGGGGAGCCCCAGCCCTGGCACTGGGGACTAGGTGTGAGGGTGTGAGGTTCCCACCCCCCAGCCCCTTTCCTGAAGCCTCTCCCTCCCCCGCGACGCCGCCACCCTCGGCAGCTCACCCGCCGGGAGCTTGTTGCTTCTTGTTCAAGGGGCGTAATTGCGCCACTCTCCAGGGCGCAGGGAGCCCTGATTTACATATTTCTCAGCCCGGAGCAAGCACGTCGCAAACACCTCGGAGTAACTTGGCTCTCTCCCTTATCAAGCCTTGGGGCACAAGTGCTGGCCTCGGACAAACCTCAAACGCCAAAAGCCTCCCGGGGGGTTGCCCCGGCCAGGGCCTTGGTGCCCACGGAGCCCTCTCTCCTCTTCTCTGCTTTTCTTCTCCCTGTTCCGGCCTCCCTCCTTCTTTCCTTCCTTCGTGATTTTCAGTCTCCCTTCCTTCTCTTCTTGTCCACTCTCTCAATCTTTGAATTCCTCTTCCCCACCTTCCTCTCTCTTACTTTCCTCCTCCCCCTTCCTCTCTCGGTCCCTCCATCCTCTCTCCTCTTCCCCCCCTAAGTGTGTCACTGCCTCCCAGCCTCTCTCCCAGGCGCCTTCCTGTCGTCTTCACTCTCTCAGTACTAAAGGAAGGAGGGAGCTCAGCCCGCGGAGACACCCTGAGGACTCGGGGCTACCCTCTAAGCTCTGGTGAACAAAAGGATCTGAAGTCCTGCCCTCACAGTGCCGGGCTCCTGCTCACCACCTCTCACGGGCATAAGCACTGTGCCTCCACCCTCCTCACCCCCTCGGCTTTTAGGCCTGGTCTGGGACCAGTCTTCCTTAGTACCTAGACCTTTCCTTGCCCAGAAGCCCACCCAGGGCCTGAGCATTCAAATGTCTCCTGAGACTCCTCTGGCACCCTTGGGTCGGCATGGTCATTGCGACTCCAGGGAAATCCGTTAGCTTTCCAAGGGCTCTCAGTGGTGCTCTGGGTCCCCCGTGGAGCTCCTCTGCACTACCTGGCCCCGGGGGACTCTTCAGGTCCTCACCACTGGTCCCAAGGCCTCACTTTCCTGCCACAACCTTCTCCCAGCGCTACAATCCAGGCGAGGCCTAGGCTTCCTTCTTCCAAAGAGCAGGCGCTTTCCAAAGGAAAAGCAGATTTCTCTAAACCCAAAGCCCAGAACCAAGGGCAGTAATCCGCCTCGGCCCCGGGGAGTCTTCTTCCCAAACCTCCCAGCACAGCCCCATGGCCCAGGGCAGGCAGCGCTGGCTGTGTTGCTGGTTCCCTCCCGAGCCTAGACTGTTGCTCTGCTCTCTGCCCACGGTGCCGACAGACAGAAAAAGGCGGGTGGCCCGAATTAATATCTATTTTCTAGCTGATGCTCCCCCCTCCCCCTTGGTCTTTTTCTCCTCCCTCCTTTCTTCCTCTCTTTTCCTCCGCCCCCTCCCAAGTCTGCTTCCCTCCCCCAACACTGCGCAAACAGGTCGATGTTGACTGAAGGGCACCAAGCCCTCTCCTACCCAGAGCTGTCCAGCCTGTGTTCCCCCGCCCTACGGCTGGCACCCCCACTCCCATTCTTCTGGCACCCTTGTCCTCAGCCCAGACACCCCCCCCCAGCACACTTATCTGCCTCCCTATCTCCATCCTAGCCCTGTGCCTCTCCATTTCTGGCTCCTGGTCGACGCCCCTGGATCTGTCTCCTAAAATGGCTCCCTGGACACTGCACACAGCCCCCGCGATCTCTCAGGACCCAGGGCAGCGGCGGGGTCTCAGTAGGCGTTTCTGCTATATCTGGGGGAGGGGGATGCAAAAAATTTCTCACACCTTCTCTCTGCTCGCGGCTAGGAGTGGGGCGCAGGCAGCCGGTCGCCCCCAAAATGAAGCTTGCTGACCGCCGAAAAGGGAAATGATGACGAACCATTCAAGTTCAACGACATGGCGACGGCAGCTCCGGCGGGAGCCAAGCTTTGGTAGGGGAGGGCGCGCCATCTGCAGCGGCTCGCGGCGCAGAGGGGAAGGGAACGAAGGCCCCCACCTCCGAGCACGAGCACCGCACATTCGTCCTCCCTCCCCACGCCACTCAGGGCATTCGTTCCAGGCCCAGCCTGCTCCCCTCTTTGACCCCCCACCTCTCTGTTTGGTCCTCACCCTGAGAATCAGGGGTAACCGCAGCCTCCAGACCCGCGCGTCCCGCTCGAGAACCTACCGTGAGGACCGTGGCCTTCTCCTTGCAAGTGCGGCCCCACCCGAAACGCAGGGTGCACACCAGGCCTTCGGGGTTCGCCAAGCAGCTCCGCCAACGATAGCTTTCCGCGCAGAGCGGAGACGCGATGCGGTAATTTCTAGCCACCCAAGATAAGACACTAACTTGACCTTAACTTTGTCGGGGCGCCCCTGGTATCTGGAGAACGTGAACAGACACTGTCTGGCAGCTCTCGTAAAAGCTGACTGGGGAAGGGATTCTGAGTCATTTCATTTATTGCCACTACAGTTCTGCAAGAAAGCTTTTCCTCCCTGCCAAACTTTAATTATTTATGCTCTTTTAGGAAACGAAAGAAGAGAAAAGCGGGAGGGGAAAAAAAAAAAAGAAAGAAAAGAAAAACACCCAGAGCCAGTCCCTTCCCTACAGAGCCTTCGGAAAGGACTCCCTTAAGTCTAGCAACTGAAGAACAAAAATGAGGGGAGATCACCTTTGTCCAAGGACAGTCGGACAGGCGCTGTGCCCCACCACCACCAATGAGGGGAGTGGGTGCAGCTGAGAGATGGGCCACACATACGCCTCCCTCTCCCCCCTCCTCGCCAGACATGAATATTTACAACAATTCTGGATTTCTCCTCCACCGGCCGGCATCCCGGAACCTCCCCAACCCGCCTCCCTGGGGAGAACCCCGGGCCTTAAAAGCTTCCCCCCAGCAGTCCTCGGAGCTAGCGACTGACGGAAGGCGGGGTAAAAGGTTCTTTCTCTGCTTAAAAACGTTTTCTTAGTTAAAGGGCCTCGCGGACCCCAGCATTTCCGAGGGAGGCATTTGTTTTTCTGCGAGGGAATGCCGCCGAGCGCTCAGATTTCAACATCATTTCTTTCTAGCATTGGTTTCATGTGATTTTCCTCTTGGCTCCAAATTGCTAGGGAGGAAGACCACGGTCTTTGTGTTTGTGTGGATCAGCAAAGGGCATGCATTTGGGAAATAGGTCTGAACCAATAGAAAAAAATTACACTTAGCATAATTTAATTCTCTTCGAAGGGTGGCCCTCATGAATATTTCTCCCACCACAGACTAAGGGGAAAGAGCAGGATGATCTAATTATATATATATATATATATATATATATATATATATATATATATATATATATATATATATTTAATTTTTAAAGAAGCAGTCTATATGTACTGTCTTGGGATCTGGGTCTGCGTAAGTCTGACTTCTTCTCCCTTTCCTCAGCCTTCTGGACTTCTTTTGATGTGGCTTCTGCCTTTGTTCATTTGCCTTTGAGGAAGAAAACCTCTGAATACAGAATAAGATTCTGAAGCTTGCTATGAGTCGTACACATTGCTTTGTCCAGCCAGGTGGGGAAACATGTCTAACTATAGGGCCTTGCAGCCTCTTTTCTTTCCATTGTGTGTGTGTGTGTATGTGTGTGTGTGTGTGTACACACATTGAAAGAAAGTGATTTAAAATATTTTTAAATGTAAATCTAATTCATTTTCAGAGAAGGGGAGTTCGAATGTTGAATGCTCAGTATTAGAAATTTATTGTTTTTGCTAATTCTTCTTCTAACCGAAAACTAGCTTCCACCTCAACCACTCAGAAGCCAGGCTGTGCAAGGGAGTTAGTATGAAGCAGGCCCTGGCTTTACTGGACAGAATTAGAAGCTCCAAAGGCCTACAGGGTCTTTAGGCCACATTTCCCAAGGGGCCTATTGGGATCCTGGTGGAGGTGCCTTTGGATCTTCATAGCCCTTTCCAGAAAAGCCTGACCACAACTTTGGCAGACTGATGTTTTGTTTTGAAATCTGAGGAGCTTCGAATCTTGGCGCCCCCTCCCATGATAACAAGCTTTAAAATTTGAGAATTCAGTCAAAATGCAGAAACCCTAACTCACAACAAGCTGAGAATTTCCCTTCATGTTGGAGATACATTCAGTTCTGTCTGTCTTCCTACATTTGGCTATTCCATACATATTTTGTTCTTAGGTTTTTATGCCCTACTTCCTAACTGCGTTGGAAGCCATTTTCTCATTTAATGAACAGCCAACACCCAAAGTGAAACTTCAATCAGGAAAAAAGAAAGAAAGAAAAATGAATTTGGTGGCTTGACAAACATTACAAAGGAATCCAAAATGTTATTTTTATATAAAGAATCAACATCACCCCCTTGACAGCTTGGCTGGAACCTGGATATTTATTTTCACTCAAAACATTTCTATGCATCTAATATATACAATGAGTTATTTTGACAAAAATAAAAGCAAAATATGTATGGCAGCTCTTAGCAAAAAAAAAACAAAAAAAATTTTTAAAGACACCTGCCATTAGTCTAAACACCAACTGAAGTCACTTGGACTGCAGCTAACAGGTTCCTGGGAGGTGCCCTCCTAGGTCCAGGCCCTGGTTCTCCACTAGAAAAAAAAATCATTGGATTTCAGGAAGACTGTTGTACATTTTGCTAGGAGTTGGAGGGAGAAGGTTACTACATTTCAGAAGAAAAGGCAGAAGAGGCTTGAAGCAGAGGTTCACTGAGAGTAAGTCTGGACACCCTAACACACCCAGAACAA